CCATCAGACACTGCACGCGGGACACAGACAAACACTGCACGTGGGCACTCATCAGACGCTCAATGGTAGCCCGCCAGCTTCACCCGGTGTCGTGCAAATTGAAATGTGCGCTGCCGCGGGGGTGCAAATTGCTCTCGATAATTCTGGCAGCAGCCATTAAGCCTGGAAGGAGCCGCTGCTTCCGTCCTCCCCGTGCATGTATTTGGTGTTTCTGGAGAGCGGTGGCGCAGTGGTAAGCGCACTGGGCTACGCTCCCGGTGGCGATTATCTGAACCAGTCCTGGGCCTCCTCTAGGTCGAATCAGCCTTAAATGAGTACCTAGTGAAGTGTGTAAATATCGCCACTTGGAAGATAAAGGCGGCCAGGTGTGGTGTTGGCCACCCAACCTTCTCGTGTGCCATGCACTGACAGTTCTGTTGAGGCTGTAGTACGATGGATCTTTGTATTCTGCTCTCTGTGTCCGTGTTTTCCTATGTTTGCATTTGTGTCTCTATGTTTTGTGTGCGTGTGTATTTCCGTGTGTGTCTCTCTATGTGTATATCTGTGTCTTTGCCTGTCTATCTCTGCGTGTCTATCTATGTGTGTAGAAATCTCTGTATATCTGTGTTCGTGTGTATCTGTGTGTGTCTGTCTTTGTCTCCATCGTGGTTTAGTGGTAATTAATTGAAGGTGGAGGGGTTACCAGCCCCTCGCACCCATCTGTGGAGGGATGCAGGCAAGGCCGATGAGTCAGATACCTTCTATGGCCTCTTATTACAGGTGCTAGCTAAAGTGGCCCCTCGGGATAGAGTCATCTTGTTGGGTGACTTCAATTCCAGAGTTGGTCATGATGCTGGCACCTGATCTGGAGTGATTGGAAGGCATGGGCCAGATCACCTCAATAACAACGGCAGGAGGCTGCTAGATTTTTGTGCAGCCCATGGGCTTGTAATTACCAACGTGCTGTTCCGGCATCAGCGCATCTACACAACATCATGGATGCATGCCGGGTCAAAGCAAGAACATCTGCTGGACTACATAGTGACAGAACACCGTATGCGGGCCCATGTCCTTGACAACAGGACCTACCGTGGAGCTGATCTGCCCACGAACCATCGACTTGTCATCTGTAAGATGCGCCTGCCATTCTTCCACTCCATTCAACCCCTTAGTGGCATGGTCTCAGCTAGCTGATGAAATATGAAAGCGAGAATTTCATCATCGATTGCAGCTGGGGTTGGCATCGTCCCCTACTCATCCTGATGTCGAGGGAAAATGGGCGAGGTTTAGGACTGTGGCTCATGCAGCTGCAATGACTGCTCCAGACCTCCCCAGAGACCCTGGCTGACAGAAGAGGTGTTCAAGCTGGCTGAGAAAAAGCTACAGGCCCACTCTCATCGGCTACAGCATCCCACGTTGGAGAATGAGGAGGCTTACCGCAGCCTTCGCTCGGAGGTTCGGAGAGCCGTGAGGTGCTGCAAGGATGGGTGGTGGTCGCAGGTTGCTGAGGACATGGAGTCTGCCTCAATGGCCCACGATCACAAATCGCTCTTTAATTCCATAAAAAAGTAACCTGCAGCGCCACAGCTATTACCATCATTAGGGAAAAGAACGGTGATCCAATCTCCGACCCCCAGGAACAGGTTTACATATTTGCTGAGCATTTCTGAGAGGTCTTGGGGGAGGGGAAATCCCTCAGCCAGGAAAACATCATGGCACAAAGTGGGGATAACCCTGCTGAGGCTGCGGTGCCTAAAATATTGGAGGAGGAAGTCACCCCCTGTGAGTGGCTGGCTGAGGTGCCATCTGTTGAGGAAGTACTGAAGGCAATCTGGAGTCTGAGACCAGGAAAGGCACTGGGCAGAGATGATCTCCCAAGCGAAATGCTGAGGGAGGGTGGCGTTTGTGCACAGACTGCCCTATATGACATCATAACAACAGTCTGGGCCACTGGATGGGTTCCGCAGGATTGGAAGGAAGCCCTGGTGGTCCCCCTCTTTAAGACGGGGGACCGCACAGACTGTAACAACTACAGGGGCATCTCACTCCTCAGTGTGCCGGGAAAAGTCCTGGCAAGGATTATGCAACATCGCCTTGCTAGGCACGCTGAGGAGAGGCTTGCGGGGCCCCAATGCGGTTTCAGGAAAGGGCGGTCCTGCACAGATGCCATATTTTCTGTCCGTCTGCTACAGCAGAGGTGTAGGGAATTTCAACAAGACCTAGATCTCTGCTTTATTGGCCTGGTCAAGGCCAATGATACCATCAGTAGGCCTGGGCTCTGGGTTGTTCTTCGTGCTTTCAGAGTCCCTGACCCTCTGGTCACGATCATTAAGGACCTTGATGATGGTGAGCGGGCCCGGGTTAAACTACGTTGCCGGGAGTCAGAGCCTTTCCCTGTACACCTTTGGGTGCGACAGGGATGTCCTCTGGCTCCCACATTATTTAACATCTATTTTGACCACGCAGTTCGTGAAGCGTTCAATAGCTGTACCGGGGGAATCTCCATTTAGTGCAGATATAATGGAAGGCTGATCGATGCCCAGGTGCAATCAAGGGATGGCTCCCTATTGGTCAACGACGTTATATATGCCGATGATTTGGTAATAGCTGCTCATTCAGAGGAGGAGTTGGAGACACTGCTGCTGAGACTGGAGCGTGCCACTAAGAGGTGGGGCCTTACCATCGGCCCCACCAAAACTAAGCACCTGCCTGGGTATTTTGTACCATGGGACACTCTACCCCCACAACTCCCAATCGGTGATGGGGCAGTAGTGGAGAGAGTGGAGAATTTCCCATACCTGGGCAGTGTGCTTATGACCGGCTCCAGTTTAACAGAAGAGGTCTTACTCCGAATCAGTTGAGCGGCAATATCTTTTCATCGGTTGCGTAACGCTGTGTGGAAGCTACCTGGTCTGTCGCTCCGCACGAAGCTTCAGGTCTTCTCGGCCACAGTCATTCCCTCCCTTCTCTACGCTTGCAAAATGTGGACCCCCCTAATGGAGCATCTTCGCCGGTTGGAAACATTTAGGCTGGCCTGCCTACGATCCATCCTGGGTTTAACCAGGATGGATTGTGTGAGGAGCTCACAAATCCTTGAAAGATCTGGGCAAAGTCCCATCGGTGAGCTCCTCCGGCAGGCAAGGCTGCCTTGGCTGGGTCATGTAGCCCGCATGCCCAGCCACCGCATGCCTAAACAGCTTTTGTTCGGCCGGATCGAGTGGGCTAAACGGGCGCGGCACGGGCTAGAGAAGAGATGGAGTGATGTGGTACAGGAGGACGTGGAGCTGAGTGGACTTGCCGATGACTGGTACCAGCGGTGTCAAGATCGGCCTCTGTAGAGGAGGCTCGTGAAGGACGCTACTGGGCAGTTGGAGGCAGAGTTATCGTGTTTTCCGCGCCTTATTCCCCGGGGCAAGGGGGATGGGGGCAGTCAAAACCTTCGCGTTCCTCACCCCAGCGTTCCTCTCCAACACCTTATGTCCTGTCACCCCTTTTGTCTCTTAAACTACAACTATTTTCATTTTACCAGGTCAGGCCCACTCAGCTCTTCTTATCTCTCCTCATCTTATTCATCTTTCTGACACCCCCCCTCCCGTCCCCTAAACTCCCCTCATCCCTCACCTCCTTACCCATCTCCCTACCCCCGATTCCCCATCTCCCCTCATCTATAGACTTCCTCATAACCCCTCATCTTCTCACATCTCTTATCCTCTTTATCTCTCTTCACTCCTCATCACCCGCTCTCTCGGCTCCTATCACCCGATCATCCCACGCGTCTGCCCTCGTCCCCATTCCCCCCGTCTCTAAACCCCCCTCTCACCTCCCCTCTTTTCTCTCATCTCCCCTCCCCTCCCATAATCATCTTCCCTCACCCACTCACCCTCACCCACTCACCCTCACCCACTCACCCACCCTCACCCACCCACTCACCCACCCCCACCCTCCCACTCACCCTCACCCTCCCTCCCCCACTCACCCTCACCCTCCCTCCCCCACTCACCCTCACCCACTCACCCTCACCCACTCACCCACCCTCACCCACCCACTCACCCACCCCCACCCTCCCACTCACCCTCACCCTCCCTCCCCCACTCACCCTCACCCTCCCTCCCCCACTCACCCTCACCCACTCACCCTCACTTACTCACCCCCACCCTCACCCACCCACTCACCCTCACTCACCCTCACCCACTCACCCACCCCCACCCTCCCACTCACCCTCACCCACTCACCCACCCACCCACCCACCCTCCCCCACTCACCCACCCACCCTCACCCACTCACCCACTCACCCACCCTCACCCACTCACCCACCCACACCCACTCACCCACCCACCCTCACTCACCCACCCACCCTCACCCACTCTCACCCACTCTCACCCACTCACCCACTCTCACCCACCCTCACCCACCCTCACCCACTCACCCACCCACCCTCACCCACCCTCACCCACCCTCACCCACCCTCACCCACCCTCACCCACTCTCACCCACCCTCACCCACCCTCACCCACTCACCCACCCTCACCCACCCATCCACCCTCACCCACTCACCCACCCATCCACCCTCACCCACTCACCCACCCTCACCCACTCACCCACCCTCACCCACTCACCCACCCTCACCCACTCACCCACCCTCCCCCACTCACCCACCCATCCACCCTCACCCACTCACCCACCCACCCTCTCGTCCCCGCGTTCCCGCGCTCCCCCCGCCCCGCGCTCCCCCCGCCCCGCGCTCCCCCCGCCCCGCGCTCCCCCCGCCCCGCGCTCCCCCCGCCCCGCGCTCCCCCCGCCCCGCGCTCCCCCCGCCCCGCGCTCCCCCCGCAGCGATCTCTGGAGGGAGAGAGACGCCGCCGCCGCCGCCGCCGCGGGCGGTAAAGCAGCCGGACAGACATCGAGTTAGACAGGGAGGGAGGGAGGGAGAGAGAGAGCGGCAGACACACACAGAGACAGACATGGGAGGAAGGCGGCGTGGTGGATCATGATGATGAGGATGATGATGATGAGGATGATGAGGTGCCTCCTCTCGCCGCGCCGTCCATTTGCATGCGAGGCCGCGGCCTCCGCGGCTCCGCCGCCCGGGTCAGGGTTCGTGGTGAGAGGGGAGGCGGCGTCGCCATTCATCGCTGATCGCTAATTAGCCGCGACTGCTAATTACTGAGCGTCGCGTTTGAGTTAGAGCCGCGGGCTCTCGTCGGGGGCACGAGCGGGGCAAGGGGCATTCACCCTCATCATCATCATCACCATCATCATCACTACCATCACCACCACTACCATCATCACCATCATCATCACTACCATCATCACCACCACCATCATCACCACCACCATCATCACCACCATCATCATCACCACCATCATCATCACCACCATCATCATCACCACCATCATCACCACCACCACCATCATCATCACCACCACCACAATCACCACCATCATCACCACCATCATCATCACCACCACCACCATCATCACCACCATCATCATCACCACCATCATCACCACCACCACCATCATCACCACCACAATCACCACCACCATCACCACCATCATCATCACCACCACCATCATCACCATCACCACCATCATCATCACCACCACCATCACCACCATCATCATCATCACCACCATCATCACCACCATCATCACCACTATCACCACCACCATCATCATCACCACCATCATCACCACCATCATCATCACCACCACCATCATCATCACTACCATCACCACCATCATCACCATCATCACCACCATCATCATCACCATCATCACCACCACCATCATCACCACCATCATCACCACCATCACCACCATCATCACCACCATCATCACCACCATCATCACCACCATCACCACCATCATCACCACCATCACCACCATCATCACCACCACCACCATCATCATCACCATCATCACTATCATTACCACCATCATCATCATCACCACCGCCATCATCATTATCATCATCACTATCACCATCACTACCACCATCACTACCACCACCATCACCACGATCATCATCAGACGCGCCCCGCTGGCGGTGAAGCCGTCAGCCACGGGCCAGCCAGGGGTGAGCGAGGGGATGAGGGTGAGCGAGGGGGTGAGGGTGAGCGAGGGGGTGAGGGTGAGCGAGGGGGTGAGGGTGAGCGAGGGGATGAGGGTGAGCGAGGGGGTGAGGGTGAGCGAGGGGGTGAGGGTGAGCGAGGGGGTGAGGGTGAGCGAGGGGGTGAGGGTGAGCGAGGGGGTGAGGGTGAGCGAGGGGGTGAGGGTGAGTGAGGGGATGAGGGTGAGCGAGGGGATGAGGGTGAGCGAGGGGATGAGGGTGAGCGAGGGGATGAGGGTGAGCGAGGGGGTGAGGGTGAGCGAGGGGGTGAGGGTGAGTGGGAGGATGGGTGAGCAAGGAGATCGCGTTGAGGAGATAGGGGTGAGTGATGGGGGTGAGTGAGGGGATTTGGGTGGGTATAGGGATAGGGTGAGTGATGGGGGTGAGTGAGGGGATTTGGGTGGGTATAGGGATAGGGTGAGTGATGGGGGTGAGTGAGGGGATTTGGGTGGGTATAGGGATAGGGTGAGTGATGGGGGTGAGTGAGGGGATTTGGGTGGGTATAGGGATAGGGTGAGTGATGGGGGTGAGTGAGGGGAGATATTGGTGAGTGATGGGGGTGAGTGAGGGGGGATATTGGTGAGTGATGGGGGTGAGTGAGGGGGGATATTGGTGAGTGATGGGGTGAGAGTTGAGTGAAGGGACATGGGTGAGTAAGGGGATGGGGGTGAGGTAGTGCGGTGATTTAGTGAATATACTGTAGTTGGGTGATGTAATGAACGTCAGGTGAGGTATTGAGTGTGTTTGAGGGAGGTAATATGGTGTGAATAAATGTGTGGTGAGTGAATTTTTGGGTCAGGCAGTGAATGTGGGGAAGTGATTGTTGATGGAATATTTACTCTGAGAACGGTAGTATGTGGCTTCGGTACAGTGCACTGTGCCAACACACTTGAAATTGTTTCCTGTTTTCCCGAGGTCGCGCTCGTTGCCCAGCACTTCCTCGGGAAAGAGCCCCACGCTGCCGGTGTCATTGCGGCCCCGTGGCCTCCAGGGTCCGGTCCGGTGTCACTTACCCTGTGCCTCGGAAATTCGGTGGCCTCGGTGTGTTCAGGCTCACGTTCAGGCTCGCGTTCAGGTTCACGGTGTCATAGGGGTCAAACAGGTCAATATTTAATTTCTTATTTAATATTTTCCAAGTCTCTGGAATTGGTGGCACGCGACTCGCAGTCACAGCCATGGCGAGTTGTGTGCTGGACGTGGTTTTGCTGGGGGTGGAAATAAGTTTCAGATCGTGTTGCACGTGGAGTGAAACGTCGCAAATCGCAAACGAACAGCCCTCGGTGCAACCCGAAAAGACACGAGAGAGCTGCACGGCACAACGGCGAAATCCTACGCAGTAGTTTTCTTTAGGGGGGGATCCTTATCTTTTCCTTGTTTTTATGTTCCAGGCATGAGCCATGAGCGCAAGCCAAGCTCCTTAATGGCGTCAGCTCCACGCAGCACGGCCACCGTGGTGCCCCTGGTGCCCTCCCCCCTGGGCGTGATGGCGCACGCCGGGGGTGCCCACCACCTGCTGCCCGCTGGCCTCTCCGGCGGGCCCCGTGCCTCCAGCTTCGCCGCGGCCCTGCGCGAACTCGCCAAGCACGCCGAGGAGCCCAAGGGCGGCCTGGGCCTCCAAGGTATTCCATGCGTCGCCAACGCTTTCTACCCTCCACCAGATCCCACAGCTGCTGCACATTAGACACGCGACCTTCAAGAACTGCCCTTACAGTATATCCCACCATCTGGGCTTAGGTGTTCTCTTCCTCCTGGTTACCGGACTCGTGGAGACCACTCCAATGCCAGTCGTGGCAATCGGCCCTCCCCCATCCTGCACACATGTCCCGGCCAGCACGGCCGTTTTTGCCTAATCCTGTCCTCAAGGTACGGCGGCGGACAACGTGACGATTCACACGGCGCAGCTGGCACAGCCACACGTTTCCCGTCTCCCACAAGCACGTGTTCCCCCCTCTCTGCTACTTCGCTGTGCCTCGGATGCATTGTTAAGAGCAATATCCAGCTGCCTTTTGGATGAGCTATTTGAATTTCCCTCTTCAGCCCGGCAGGAAGGCCGACCAATCATCTCCAGACCTGTGTGAGAACAACTGTCTTCTCAGTTCCCTCCTACCGCCTTTAATAAACAATAAATGCACAGCCGCGTGGATTTACGGCTGTACCGCCACATGTTGAAGATGCGCGCACGTGGGTTTGTGTGCCGCTTGGTGACCTTGGTGGGTTGTCGTGCACTCGACCGAGACACTCTCCCCGGGGTCTCCTCCGCCAGCCGCCTCTAAGTAGCAGCGCCCTCGTGTCCCAGCGCAAACGCAGCCAGCGGTCTCGCCAAGCCCTGTCTCCCGTGGCATGGACCCCAAAATAAAGCTGCCCTGGCCGAGCTCGGCTGCCAGCCAGTGACTCCTGGGCAACTGCTGGCACTCGGCAAATTACTAAAGAAATCAAACTGTGCCAAACGGTTGCTTAAATATATATATGTGCGTTTGCAAAGACGAAATGACAAAATAAATGCAAATGGCCAATGACACCTGATGTGACTGCATGATAAACAGGTAATGTGCCGTACAATGAACCGTTCATAGATATTTTCTATAGAGAAAGAGTGAAATGCTTTTGTGCTGATGCGTTCCGCAGTGGAGATAATGACCGTATGGAAATCCGTTTCTAGGAAGTGTCATTTTGTCTGTAAAAGTGGGTTGAGATTTATTGCCGCGCTCGGCTCGTGCATCGTAATCGTCCTCCGAGGACCAGCCCAGCACTGAGTGCAAATTCAGGCCTCCTGCCTACAACAGGCGCTTGTGTTCGCCAGCCACTGCACATCGTACAGTCGACAGGCAGCGATGAGCATCGCTCGTCAGAAATGAATGTTTCTTGTCAGGAGGGGATGTCTGTCTCCTGCCGCGAGCAGATGTCTGCTGTGAGTGGGAGTTGTCTTACCCATAGAACGGTGGCTTTTGTTAGTAAGAGATGTCTTGTCAGTAGATTTTGTCTGAAGGGGAAGTCCAAATTGTATAGTAGATATGTGCTGTCAGTAAATGTATATTATTAGTTTGGCATGTCACTTGTGAGCATTGCATGTGTTATCACTAGAAGATGTCTTGACAGTAGGAGATGACTGTTGTCAGTCGAAGAGTTATTTTTGTCAGTTGTAGTTGCTTATTATTAGATAATTTAATTGTTGTCAGTTACAGATGCCTTGTCAGTAGGAGATGGCTTTTAGTCAATAGGGATATTTCATAAGTAGATAATGTATTCTATCCATATTGGATATCTTTTGTGAGTAGCAGATGTCTGTTGTCATGAGGAAGATGTTGCCATTAGGTGGCTGTTGTCAGGAGATGGCTGTCGTCACTCGGAGATGGAGATTGCCATCAGCTCGTGGTGTTCAGTATTCGCTGAGGTTAAGCACGTCTCCTCCACCCATAATCTTATTTATTTGCTGGTGATGTTGATCATCCGTTATGCATTACAAATGCATTAGTGCATCTCATTGCTGAAGGCATAAATTATTAGTGAACAACAATTTGCGAGCCATAAAAAAATCTGGAGTGCGTGTTGTGCAAAAGGAGCCGGCTGTGGCTGTAACGACACCAGTTATTTCATGGCCATAAATAACACTCGTTATATCATAATAAAATCCCTTGTTTCAGCAAAGAAGATTAAACAAGATCAATATTGCTGTTTAATTATATTAGCAGAGATTTTCTTAATTCAGCACGGTCGCGGTTTACGCCTCCTAGGGCGGGCATTAGGCTCACGGCACGTGGCGCAACGCCGTGGGCCCCGTTGTGCAAATGTGTCGCATCTCGCGGTGTTGCTGCGATCCCGTGAGCACCGCGGTGAGCGCGCGTGTCATGTGTGTGCAGTGTTGGTGGTGAGCAAACTGGAGGAGACGAGGGCTCTGCCGGAGCCTGGCATTTGGCGTTAAATCATTTGAAGCGCACACGGCGTGTTTTGCACGCGTGTTCCGTTCGGGCAAAATAAATGATTAAGATAAATAATAACAATGATTTAGTCAAAGGGAGCTGTGTGAGGCCCAGCTGTTTTTCCACGGGCCACCCCTCCCCGCCTCGCTCGCTCACTGTCTCCCTCGGAATGCCACCGCCGGGGGCGTCTGGCGGGCGTGCCGCGGCAGCTCACCACGCCGTTCCCCTGTCACCATTGTCGCTCTAATGCTGCCCAGGGATCTGAGCAGAACAACAACTTCTGTGACTGTGCTGATTTGCCGTTTGGGAAAACGCTCGTCGATCATGCGTTGTATTAGGTCGCAGCATCACGACCCGGTGATTCGACCACTCCAGGGTTCACCGCTCGGGGCGGCGTGTAACTCTCGCACGAGCCGATTGTGAACTTGATGACGATCCAAGGGCGGGGAGAGTCCACTGAGCATTGGCCGGAACAGAATAGGGTCGCTCCGCAAGGAGCCCAGCCCCCATCACCACCCCCACCACGGCCCCCACCACCACCGCTGTGCGGTGGGACACGTTTCCATGACTCGAGTTTACGCGTCCCGGGTATCTGCCGCCCCCGGCTCATTACGCCATCTCCGATGGCGGTGTTTTGACACCGGGATTTGTGCCTCGCGGATTGGTGGGGCCTTGTACCAGGGCATCCCACACGGCTTTGTCACGTGCCCCGGGCAGGTGTTGGAGCTGAAGCTGCTCAGGCATTGCCTTGTTGGTTTGGGTCACTTGGGATTCAAAGGGTTTTATTTTAACATGAATAGAATGAAAAACTGCAGTTGTTTCAAGCCTGGGACTGACATCTCAGTAGGAAGCTTAAACAAATGTTAGTGCTCAAGTATGTTTATGTATATGCTTTTCCTGTTCCTTTTGTTTAAGTACATTTCCATAATCGTCGTCTTTTAATCTTTTCAGCTGTGCATTTATCGCTGAAGCCTCAATGTTCAGTGATGAGTCAATGGGGGTGGTGAAAAGCAACACAATTTGACTGCGGGTGGCTAAAGGAATGAACGCATTTGAAAGTATCACAAAAGCAACAAATGGCCCATCTTGTTGTTCCGTGTTGCTAAGTGTCCCTGCACAGTGGCGCTGTGTTCAGTGGCCCCGTGTTGGCAGTGCTTGCGCTCGCTGGGCACAGCGCCAGGCGTTCCCTAGCGGCAAGGCCGCCCTGCTCGCGCCCCCGGATCCGGCTGTGAAACTAGAGCCCCCCTCACCAGTGGTGGATGGCTCCTCCGTGTGGCCGAGAGCTCTGTAGCGGATGGACGTACGTGAGACACGAGGGGCGGTCTGGACATCTTGAGATCGTGTCACCCCGGTCTAGTGCTCGACTTATTTTCAAGTACCATGTTTACATACCAGGAGCATAACTGGAAGAGCGTGTCGATGCTCGTATTTGTTCGTAAGAATATAGCCGTAGGCAAAGGTTGCACAGGCCACGGGTATCATGTCTCGGTTCTCAATGTGTGTTCTTTCACTGCCGCTGCTATACTGACAACACACTGACTGGTCCGTCCACCTTTTCAGATAATTTTGTTTGGTTAAGCACTGCTGCCAGGTGTATGTAACGCAGGCACAAATGTTTATCTAATACAAATTCGCCACCATCAATAATGACACTTCCTTGTACCCTAAGAATATATTTTTTGTATATTTTTAGTACATAGGCTGCCGCAACCTATGTTGTGATTTGTAATTGAGTTTTTAGTCGGATCGCATGATTACTTTGCAAATGTTGTGTCTACACCCTCCTCCACCCAACACAGCTAAATAAATAAAGCTGTTACATGAACAAACGCAACAGTATGTATTGCTTGGTCACACTGGCAGGCTGTGTTGAGCAATACACAACATGTAACAAGCGTGTACGACACTTCGCTGGTCGTTACAACCAGCATCATCAGGCAATCACCAGAATTCTGGCAATTTATTTATTTAGCTGTGTTGGGGGCGGCCCTACTATTTATGAAAATATTAGTAGGGCCACCCTTTTACGCAATAGTCTTTCTCTTTGCATTGCCGTGAAATGTTAGCCCATTGCACGCATATATATATCCACTAAATTGTGGTGCTAATCACAAAGGTATTGATTTTTGTTTGTTTAATTTGTGTTTGTTTAACACTGTCAATGCAGTCCCATAATTCTCCACGTGTAATGGAGGTGCTGTAGGGGTCGTGTTGTGTTTGAAACAGGCGTGAGGTTAGGGACGTCGCTCTGTTGCACCCCCGCACGTGCTCGACGGTTAACGGGAGCGTCACAGGTTGCGCAGCGCAAGGGAAATTGGTTTGGTGCCTCCTGTATTCCCATCAGTACCGGCCTGCTCATCGCTCTTACTGCATCTGCGGTGGCATTGTCCTTCCGTAGGTGAAGATGCATCGTTTCGTCCGGCAAAACAGATTTTTCACGCTTGCGATACGCGCATCGAGTTGCGCGGTCTGAGAATAGGTTATTTATGATTTATGGAAATTGCATACAAATTATATGCAAATGCCACCTTTAGGCTACTGGAACAGACGAGACAGAACAAACAAGACAGAATGTATGTGATAGCACAAAGGAGAGGATTTTTTTAAAGTGATTGCATTGAGACGATGTATTACATTTCTGTAAGTGGAGTTGTGAGTCGCAGTGGCGTAGCGTGCTTGGCATGGGCCGGAGTGCAGGACCCCTGTTCGTGGCCCGGCACCTGGGCCCTTATGGCCCATGAGTCCCGGTGCAGTTGCACCACCTGCACACTCGATAGTTGCGCCGCTAGGGAGCTGTTACATGGCTACCGCTTAACCGGTGGTGCCATCGAGGTTGAGTGAGCGAGCGAGCGAGAGAGTGGGGCAGCAGCAGCAGTGAGTGTTGCGCGTGCCCTGCTTTGCCCCAGTGTCGTCGTCGTCGTCGATGAAGACCGAGCCCTGTCGAGACGCGTCCCCCGGCGCTGGGCACGGACACTCGTCTCCCGCCCACACGCCTAAGCGGGGCCCCCCTGCTCCCCTGCCTGGACCGGGACACTCGGCCCCCCACCAGCCCCCGCCGGTCGTCACCATCGCGCCCACGCAGACCAGTCAACGGCGCGTGGAGGAGCGAAAGCCGGCAGGCAAGTGGGCTCCCCCTGACCCCGGCACCATCCCCTTAACCCTCCCACAAGGACACAGCCTAGTTAATCAAAATCATTATCATCAGCCATGGTCAATCCACTGCTGGAAAAAGTCCTCCCCAAGTCTCTGTCATCCGTCACGGTCCTGTCATGTTACAATCCACGAGCCTTATAGCGCCATGAAGTAATGGATAGGGCACTGATAGTGGGGGGAAAGGTGCCCTGGAATATTATTATGTTTAAATAATTAAAACCCTTTGGAAGTTAATTGCTGGATGAAAGCCTGTCCCCACCGTGTCGGTCATTTGGGCTGTTTGGTCATACTTCACCACGCTGGTCACCGGTTAGGACAGTTGGCTACGTACGGTGCGAAGGAAGTTCAACATACATACAGTTCAGCATATAGGACGGGATCCCAGGACCGGTTCACATCACTCTACATTGGCGTTAGCTGTGTTGGAGAATTAAACCCAGGTTGCCGGGTTCATAATGCAGTTAACCATTCGCACTCCCACGCCCGTGTTACAACATTATCATCATTATAACAATAACGTTTTGAGTTAAGCTACACTTGATGGATTCAATCTAGTCACCAACAGAAACAATCGGGAATATAGTGTGAACACAATGTGTGAATTGTAGCACACGACACCAAGTAGTGGCTGTTAAAAAGAAACGGTTATGTTTTTGGGATGTGTATGCTACCCAGCTCACGCGAGTGAGCGGTGATCGAATGAGGTTGGTTATCGCCTGTGACAAAAGCACCCGGAATGCGCCCGATCTCATGCCTGGAAGTGCGACCACCATGCCTGGACACTTGTTGCCATCGTGCTCGCGGAGCTACGCGGTGGGCAACAAAGGATAGTGCAACACGATCCATCGTTGTACTGTACTTTTATGCCCCCGCGTTTATGCTCCCCGCCTTCAACTTGCACTGACCAGTGTGATGGGGTATGGTCAAATCAGCTCCACGACCCGTACTACGTGGTGGAGCCCTCATCCTACAGCGGATTGACAAACGGGCTGTACATGTACATGTACAAGGTGAGTTATCTCTTCTTCTTAAAGGAGACACGGTCAGTGACGGCATGCCCCGAGAGGGGGTCCCCGCGGTGTCAACCCCGCTGCTAATGAACGCGGTGTGCCCACGCTGCCGACAGGTGGACGGGGCGGTGCGCTCCTCTGCCAGGGAGCACCCCCTCTCCACGGAGGCCCTGCTCAAGCAGGAGAAGGGCTCTCCGCAGATGTACCCCCATGTCTCCGCCATGCACCACCCCTTCCTTGTGCCCTCGGCTGCCGACGCCGCCGCCGCCGCCGCTGCTGCCCAAGGCCACCGCCTCGCTTCGCTCAGGTGGCTGATTCATCCCTCACTGAGTATCTCGGAGATTAATTCCTCGCGGAATATCTTCCGGGTTGCTAGTAAACTAGAGCATGTGACGTGACTTGTAGTAGCTCCAGCCAAATCGAGAATTATACTGGATGTGGTGTGTTGTGCACGTAAATATTGTCTGAGTTGCCGACTCGGACAGACTCGCCTAAATCGAAGTCCTGCCGCTGCTAATCGTTGCTCCCAACTAACTCCAGCTTCGCAGGAGCTGCTTGCAGAGGGCGGTGCGGGGCCTTGTAAACATGCAGAGCGCAGATGAATGGGGCTGCCCTGTGAAGGCTCCGAGATGGATGAGGGGGAAATAAATGACAAATGACACGAGCGTGGGGGCGGCACAGCCCGGGGCGATCGTCTCGGTTGATCTCGTTGGGTTGCGTTATGCGAGGCGCAGAGAGCAGCTCAACGATCGCAGACACACATCTGCGTGCCAATGCGATGTTTGAAAGATGTAGTATGAGCATTACGACGGAGGGAAATTGTCGAGCCGTGCGCTATTATAATGTTTTATGAAGAGCATCTTTCACTTCATTCAGTATTGTTGCTATGGCAATGCTGCTACGATTGAGACACGACCATTAAGAAAAGTAAGTGGGCCTGGGCAGGCAGCGTCGCGAGAAAGGGATGATCGTCGGTGGGTGAGAACAGCTCTTGAGTGGTAGTAAAATGAGGGGACGTGCCCAAGAGGATGTCCACTACAGAAAAGGAACGAGGAAATCGGCTCGCATGCAGGTGGTGGGTGGTTTGTTGGATTGCTGTCCCGTGAAGGATGGCGACAGCTTGGGCAGGCCTTCATCCAGCAGTGGATTATCGTGGCTGATGAGGATGATGCTGAAGAAACGTTTATGCGTGTGTCGTGATGGTGGTGGGTGATGTTTGGCAGTCTTTTACATTCGGCCGGTGCCACGGGGGAGACCCGTGAGCCCTGCCCAGCAGTGGCTGCAATTGGCGCCTCCACGAAGGGGGGCGGCTTTATTTTGCGGTTGGGGAATCTCAGCTTCTGGCAGCATCTGGCACCTCTACTCCCAGGTCTCATCAGCCTCCCCACAGCAGTGCTACAAATTCAACACCGCACTTTTCACAGAATGTTTAATCAAATTTCCTTTGAGCTGGAGTGCAGCTGAGTGTGGGGACCCCACGGGGAGCTCAGAAAGCTTCGGGTGTGTGAGCGACAGAGGCAGCCTCGTGCGCAGCCTGTCGCACCGCGGTCGCACCTCGGTGTGCTGTCTGCCAATCCCGGAGCTCGACACTCCGAGGAGCCTCTGCCACTCCACCCTGCGCCCACCACACCTGTTTTGAGCTGTCCCCCCCCCCCCAACTGTGTCTGATTGGCGCCGCATGCTGCTGTCCTCATTAACCATTTGTTCTCGGAACAACGTTTGATTTTTACATCCCACGGTGGTTACATTGGTCTCCGTGCTGTGTTTCCCCTGCCGTACTCACGCCTTCCCCTGCTCACAGGAATTGCAGCAACTCTTGAGTGTGTATCTTCTTTGATGTCGTAAGAATCATCCATTGTGAGCATGAAATGTCCTGTGAGTGATGTGGTTGTGCTGTCTGCACGTGCGGCTGTGACTGTTTTGTGGTGTGGCCATGTGTGTGCGATACACCGTGTGTGGTGTAGCTGTACCGCACGTGGGCGTGGCTGCGCCGTGTGCGTTGACTGTACCGTAACCATACCGCATCGTGCGCCGTGGTTTTCGTGCAGCGTGCAGCGGCCAGTACCGCAGGTGCTCGGACCGACGGCACGGGCCGAGGATTACTACCGCGCCTTCCTGGCCGGCAGCGACTTCCGCCTCCCGTACCTGCCGCACTTCGGGCTGGACCCGTCCACCACAGCGGCCGCCGCCGCATTTTACCACCCGGCGCTGCTCTCCCAGCAGCCGTTCCAGCCGCACTTCAGGTGGGGGACGCGGGACGCCGGATGTGGGGATGGATGCGGGGACGTGGAGACCGCACGTGCGCCGTAATGCGGTGCATGCCATGTCGTCAGTGCTAATGTAGTCAGCTCTTATTAACATCTTAACTGCAATATTAGGCTGGAGTTATTGCTGACCTGTTGAATTTTTGTTAAGTCTCAGTCTGTGATTTATTTTAGTCATGCTCTTAGCCTCGTTGACTAAAGCGGTTAAATATGTAGTCTGCTCTTCGTTATTGAGCATATCCCCTTTCTAAAATATTATCAGGTCGACCAAACTGAACTCCATCAGTCTCTATGAAGGCATTCATTTCAGTCTCTAATAAGGTCATTATCTCAGTCTGTGTCTTTGCTCAGACTCGTTAATATCATCCCATCATAGTCATTTGGCTTTGTGATGTGGTTTAGCAGTCATCGTTGACTCAAACATTTTTTTTTATGTTTCTGTCACTGATTTTGTTTACGAAATTAACTCTGCGTGGCAGCTCCGCTTGCAACCAATGAACTGAGAGTGAGGGGGCCCCCCAATTCTCGCTAAGCGCGCTAAGCCTGGCAGCCACGTGACTCCAGGTCGGCGCCAGTGCTACTCCGCGGAAGGAGCGTGCGGCAGAAGGGACGGGCCTCGCACTGCAGCGCACGCTTACAAACCGGAGAAGAGCGTGGGGTTTGCAGCGTGGGTTTTGCAGCATGGACTCACTACAATGGCTCTGGAATTCATTCCTGTGAATATAATGTTGTGGTACATTTCCGTAATATAAGTTGACATGAATACAAATTCCAACATGTACAATTTCACCACGGGATTGCTTGAGAAATTAATGAGTAATCACTCCCTACGCAGCACTGCATTTGCATTTTACTAATAAAAATGGAGGTGGTGGCTTCCAGTGAAAACACATACCTAGACAAAGCTAGGGACAAGGATCCCTGTATAGCCTTTACAGGTTGGGCAAGTGCTGTCAGAAAACACCAGTGAAGGTCGACACAGCGCACTAAGTGAGAGTGTGGCCAGCACTATCCCTGGCCACCTTTGTCTCCCCAGTGCTGATTTTTATATACCGTACCAGGTACTCATTTAAGGTTAAGTCGACCAAGGGGAAGTCCAGGACCAGTTCTGATATACACCACTGATTTCTCTGTATCTGGGAATTAAACTCGGGTGGCCAGGTTCGTAGCGCACTGTGCTTACCACTATACCACCACTCTCACCACACACACAAAGACACGGACGTACACACTTAGGCTGTGAATAGGCCCTGAATTAATGCAGGAGGGCTAGAAAGGTTGAACGAATGCACATTAGCGCCGGTGGGCCGTCCCCTGGCTGGCAGATTAAAATTGACCTTCTGCACAGGTCGAGCTGAAGAACAGAACTGGGTGGCGTGTTTGCCGCTCCCCTGTGCGCCATCACGCTGATATAGTATGGCTGTGAGTGCCGGTCATATCAAATTGAACAGAGCTGTCCGCTAAATACTGGGGCCCCGCGGCCCCACGCTGGGCACTGATTGTGGCACTAACGCGGCCACGACGCTCCGAGCCCACTAAGCCGAGTTCTCGCGGCTCAGGACCACGCCCCATGAGTTGCCGATCAATTAAGTGATTGAATACGTTTTTGGCGCATTCTACTTTCTCTCTGGAGCAGACACAAGTGCTGCATCCTGCCTCTTTGTGGAAATGTGCCTTGTAAAATATTCATCGGTGCTCAGCTGAGTGGACCTGCAATGACGTGCTTATCATCGTTGCTAATTTGTGGGTGCAACCTCCTATGGCCCATGGGCCATATTATCCGGCCAGTGGCCACATGAGGCCTACCACTCTGAAACTTCCTGCAAACGATATTTATCCATCACTGTGAGCATCTTGGCCGCACTTACCAGGTACTAGAGGAGAATATTTTCGACCTGGCAGCAACACTGTTTCTAATTTTAGTGTCGCACTTTGTCAATTCTCTGTCGCTGAAACTGCCTCTGGCAGTGACAGAAGTGACTGTGCTGTGTGTGTCTTAAATGTGTGACACCGCCAAAGGTATTTGAAAGTCCTGTTCGGCCCTCAATAAGAGAAGGTTTCTCCACCCCTGCTGTAGAAGCTAGAACTGGGCGTCTGTTGTTTTCTGCAGGATGGAGGATGCCCTGTCTCTCTCCGCCCTGCGGCCTCCATTCTACTCGTTCCCAGGCAGCCACGGCTCCATCTCATCCCTTCACCCCTCGGCGCTACAGCTTCCGTTCGGAGGCCACCTCGCCCCTCCGGCCATGGGGGCCCTGCCCCTGGAGCGCCACGGCACTGCCACAACGACCGCCACCAGCGAGCGGTAACCGGCTACCCACACTAGCCCCAGCGGCTGCAAATATCTGGTCTGCCTAGTCATTACCGAATCATTGTCATCAGCAGCCATTCTTGGTTCCCTGATGGTTGAAAATGTCCATGCCAGTGTGCCTACCACAGCTTTGTGCAGTTACAGTCTGCCTCACTCCTACCAGTGTGTGCGTATGGGCGTGTGTGTGTTGAGCATGTCCCGTGACCTCATGTCATGTGACTTCTTGCCAGAGAGTCTTCGGCACTTTCCTTGGCCTGAAAGTACACCTAGTTTGGGCACAAATGCCTTGGCAACATCGCTACCACTTTGTGGTGAATAGCAGTTGATGTTGTTGTCTAATTCTGTGGTTTGTATTTCATTTAACTGTCCTGTGTTTATACGTGCTGAGGTCACGAGCAGAGACGGTGTACGCGATGATGACTCTGACTGCTTCCATTTTCTCAGGTCGGCCTCAGCCGAAGACGTCAGGCAGCGCAACCGGGAGATGAAAGCGGAGAGCGAGCGGGCCGAGCGGCACATAGAGCAGGAGCGGCGTCGCGAGAGTGAGCGAGAGCGTGATAGGGAGCGTGAGAGGGAGCGGAGGAAGCGAGACCGCGAGGCCGAGAGGGAATCGGAGAGAGAGGCGGCACGGGAGAAGCGCCAGCGATTAGAGGAGCTGGCGCAGCAGCAGCAGCAGCAACAGCAGCAGGCGCACAGCCGGGACAAGGCAGAACGGTGCGCCACCACACCATCCGGTAAGATCCTCAGGGGCTCCATGTGTAGCGAGCGCTCTACATGGAGGTCCTTTGTGATGACTCGTGGGACCTGAATTGTTTCATCCAAGTGGATTGATCCAAGGGTCATGGACAGGGCCCTCCAGGGGAGGTCCACATGATCCACCTCGACGGGACTTTGGAACATTGATTATGATGCCACTGTCATATATATATTAACACTAGCGGGAAGTACCCGGCGTTGCCCGGGCGAAAAAGACACACACATCGACCCACACACACACACATCGACTCACACACACATACATAGACTCACACACACATCGACCTACACACACACATATGGACTTACACACACACAAATAGCGACTAAGACACACACACATGGACTTACACACACACATAGACCCACAAACACACATCGACTTACACACATCGACTCACACAAATATACATAGACTCACACACACATCGACTATCGACTAAGACACACACACATGGACTCTCACACACACATACATAGACTCACACACACATCGACTTACACACACACACATAGACGCACACAGACACATTGACTTATCGACTCGCACACACATCGACTTACACACTCATATATCGACGCATACACACACATAGACTCACACACACATGGAACTACACACACACATATCGACTAATCACACATGGACTTACACACGCACATATTGATGTACAGACACAAAGCGACACACACACACATAGACGTACACACACACACATGGACTTAAACACACACATACATGGACCTACACACATATGGACTTACACAAACACACATTGACTAACACACACACATGGACTCACACACACATATATGGACGTACACACACATCGACTGACACACATTAACCCACACACAAACACATCGACTTACACACACACACGTCGATTTACAAACGCACATGGACTCACACAGACACACATTTCGACGTACACACACACACACACACATCGACTGACACACATGGATCCACACACACACATCGTCTAACACACACATCGACTTAAACACACCGCACACACACACATGGACGTACACAAACAAACACAGCGACTGTCACACACACACACATTGACTGGCACACACATTGACGTACACACACACACTCTAACTTTTATATAGACTAAATAAGTTTGTAAATAATAGTTTTCTATGTACGTGACTTTAGCGACATAAGCAATGGAGAGGGGAAATGCACGCATGTATAATAAGTAAGTAATTAGGAGAGACTGCGAGGGTGCTCCACCATCTTGGTGCAAGATCGGCCATTAATGAAAGTCAACGAATACAAAATTAACCTAACCCACCTGTAACTATAAGCAGAGGTGCACCAATCAAGCGTAATTGACATAACGTCACTGCTCAACCCCCCTACTGAGGGGGCAAGTGTAAACATGATAGAATGAAGACGTAATTGAGTATTTTTATTGGTTTGCCCCTGTGCAGTAAGTGATATTACATGGCTGCTTATGTCTCAAGAGTACAGAAAAAGGCTATATTTCATAAACATTGGTTCATCCCTGTCAATGAGTAAACAGTCATAGTCATAAATGTTTGAAGGGAGCTGTACATCTGTGTGTGTCACCTTGCGCAGTGTCTACACGAAAGATAATTCCCCCCTCACCCCCCCACCGAGCGCGTGTGACTTGGTAGGGTCGAGCACGCGGTAGCAAATAAATAAATAACCAAAAACAGCACTAAATCGCTCATTAAACTACTTTAAAGGTGACAGACGCGAAATCGGAATAGCGCTGACTCGGCACGGGGCTTACGGTGTGGTACCTGGATACTTTTTTTTAAACGTAAATTCGACGGTTTGCGAGCCAAATCCTTCGCAGGTTTCGGCCACACACACACAGAGAGACAGACAAACAATGCCATTTATAGGTAAGATTATCAGGTACTATCATGGAAGTGTGTGGACAATAACATAATAAACAGACAACAGGCTGTTTTCCCACCGGAGAATAAAATCAACTTTATGTTCATCGACCAATTAATCTTGTGTAAGCACTCACCAATATGGGGAACCCTTTCCGTACTGTGAGTTAAATTTGACTTTCAAATGCCTTTAGTGGGCCCCACATTAACACACACCTTAGCATTGTCCAACAGTCACGTGAAAAGAGATTATGGTTCACCTTTACCGCAGTGATACATTTTATTGGGCGTGCTAAAATTAGAATCAGTGTTACCACGTCGAAAATATTCCTCTCTAAAGCACAGTTAGTGCAGCTAAAGGCACCTGCAGTGATGGATAAATATCGTTCTTGAGCCACTATCTGGCCGTGGGCCGTGTGAAATGAAGTCGCGGATCGGATAGATTCAACACTCCTATTCTCTTAGAAGGAATGTGTGGTATGTTGCTTAAGTGTAGGTGGTTGTGATGTTGTCTGTACCTATGCCTGTGATTTCCAGCAGCGGTTTACATTGGTGGGGTGCTCTGTGTTTTCTTTGTGTGTTTTGGGTTTTGAATCAGGGAGCTTCACTTCATTGCATTCCTCAAAAACGACAGAAATGTCTCCCAGCTCTCGGCTCTTCAGCCCCAGGTCCAGCACCCACGTGAGCAGCGTGGCAGAGTCTCAGGGCTCTCACCACCAACTGCACCACCAGCACCAGCAGCCACACCACCACCAGCAGCAGCACCATCAGCATCAACAGCACCACCACCAACAACAGCAGCAGCAGTTGAGAGGCATGGGCTCCTCGGCTGGGACGGGAGTGAGTTCAGGTCCCGTAAGCGTCGATGACGAAATGAGGTGGTCGCGTCCGTTTGCACCGCACGTCCCCTCCGCTCCCGGGGCGGCTGCGGCCATGGTGGTGCCATCCGTGCCGCCGGCGCTGACCCCTGGGTTTGGCGGCGGAGGCATCAGCCCCTGCGGCCTGCGCACCCCCGGCGCCCCCATCACGGCGGCCGAAGAGGAGAAGTGGCAGGCACGGCAGCAGCAGCTGCGGCAGGAGAAGGAGGACCGGCAGCAGCAGGTGTTCGAGTTCCGGCAGCAGCTCCTGCAGCAGCAGCTGGAGCTCAGCCACATCTTCCTGCAGGCGGGCGAGCGCGAGCGCGAGAGGGAGCGCGAGAGGGAGCGGGAGCGTGAGCAGGGCGGCGAGCTCAGGCCCAGCACCACCGCGGGGCCCAGCGAACGCAGGGACCCAGACAAGTGAGCTTAGCTTTTGACCCAATACTGTGGTGGGGGTGGGGTGGTAATGAGGGCCCGGGTTAGTCCCTGATTTGTGTATCGGTAACAATGATCATTGATGGCGGAAAGCAATGTGGATCTGGTCCGCTGCCCGGGAGAGGCTTATGGTGTGAAGTGCAAATATATGAATTCACTGCTGCTGGATGAGGGCTTCCATCTTGTTGTGTTTTTGTGTAGGTCACAGGGGTTATTTGACGAAACTTCTCCATGCTGGCCGTGGATAGGTGAAGGTGGGGAGCATAGACTTTGGCCTATAGTACTGTATAACAATGGATTTTGCTGCTCTGCCCTCTGCTGCTAATGTCCCGTAGCAGCCTACAACACCTGTTATGCATGATCGTGGTCACCCATCTATGCACTATCCAGGCTTAAACCTGCTTGGCTGACGAGATTGGGTGCATTGCCATGATTGTGCCCTAGGTGCAAGGATGTTATGGCAACCTATTTTAAAATATTTATAAGTACACACAACCCAATAAACAAATAGCGCTAATCTTGTAGATAAGCAGCAAGGCTATGTATCCCAGGCTGGCCAACGTGAGTTTAAATCCTCGTTAGCTATAAACATAAAGTGGTTATCAGGCGTGTTCCAGTGACATCGCTGTGGCAAACTGCCATCGTGGTTTATGACCCTCAATACAACACATCTGAAAGTCACTGTGGAGTGTTTTTTATATCATTAATGAACCTTGATACATGGGTCAAATGGCCTGGTACACGTAGCTCCATTACGTATCTACGCGATGACAACTGTGCATGTTTTAGGTTGTGTGTTATTTGAAATGGGGGTGGAGTAGTGACACACTGCACTATGAGCTGCACTATAAACCTGGCCACCTGAGTTCGATTCCAGGTCACTTCTCAGAATTAGTTCTAGGCCTCTTCCTTCACAGACCCGCGCTGGCCAGCATGGTGAAGTATGTTAAAGTAATGCCCATGGCTCTCATGGCGTGGGAAGACCTACCAGCAGTCGATTAACAAAGGGCTGTACATATTATTAATTTATACAATTTGTGTATCGTATTCCTGGTGGGAACAGGTTTGGCAGGCTTTAATCCAGCAGTGGATAAACATTCGCTAATAGTGATTATAATGATGATGTGCAAATATTACTGAAGGCAGATGATCTCCCTCATCAGAGAACAGTTGGCTCAGATTGTTTGGGAGGTGAATGTCCAGTATTTGGGAAGCTGATCGTGATCCTGAGTGGTAGGCAGGTCACGAGCACTACTTTGGGTGGCGGGCATGTCGAGCGGTGGGCATAGCGAGGCCGTGTGTCTGTGCCAGGCCCGACGCGAGGCTCCACCCTGCAAGTTCGTGTCCCTCTGGTCTAGGAGCGCCGCCCCCTCTCATCTCGCCCAAGCATGCCCCTCGCGACTCCCCGCTTCTCCACACGGTACCGTGGCTCTCGGGCCTTCCTACGCCTCCTAGCGCGCATCACCACCCCGTGGCGCCACCGCCGCCACCAGCACCGCCCACTCGCTCCAACGGGGAGAAGTCGCGGCCGACGCCGGAGCACAGGGCGGGTGGCGCGGCCGGCGTGGACGGGCACGCACGACCCGACGAGCACCGCTACCGGGAGTCGCTCAACTGCACGAGCAGCTACCGCGAGTGGGGGCACAGGGACCCCGCCAAGCTCGACTTCACCATGGGGGGACAGGTTGCCGACCTGAGCATTGCTGGAAAACGCGGCGGTGGCATTACCGCCGCTGGTAGTGCCACCGGGAACCCCGGGTTGAAGGAGCAGGAACCCGTGACCCCCGAGCCGACGCGACAGGGCCCAGACGAGGGAGCGCCACCCCTCCCTCCTCCTCTGCCGCCCGTGAGGCCACTTATCAGCCAGGCCGACACCAACGAACGCAAACCCAAAGAGTGTCGCATTAACGGTGCGTGCTGGTCCCTTACATAAACAGAATCTGAATCGGAATCTTTATTTAAACATGTCAAAGTCACAGTGACCCACACACATTCAGATGCCATTGCACGCCATGTCCTTATTAATGGTCTTACACATTTAATGGCCGTGCAACGCTGTGTAAAGCCACGTGTGTGTTTCTGTCTGCACGTGGCCATGCTTGGCCGGTGATTTGTATCGAGTACTGAACTGCCGCCTCTCCCGTCCAGGCTGCCACCAGACGGGCGCCCTCCCGGACCTCTCGAGTAACGGGCAGTCCATTCACAAACTGTTCCCACCACCCGCCCTGAAGGGAGATGCTCCGGCCAAGGTACGCGTGGAAACCTGCACCTGACATTGCTTGTCAAGGGGCAAGGGTTGCTCAAAACACGGGGCATTGTGTGCTTTGGTGTCTAATGGGTTGACCCTCTGTCGTGCTCCTATTGGCCCGGTGTGCATCCCGTGTGGAACCTTGCGCTCGGTCCAGTCGGAGGTAGAGGAGAAGGCCGAGGAGCCGCTGGAAGCAAGGGAGCGGAGCGCGAGGGAACGGCGTGGGGTCCTCTTGTCATCCCTGCACCACCGACACCACCACCCTCCCCCTCGACCGCGGCCTTCGCCCCCTCCCCTCATCTCCCTGCCCGTGCGGCCCCGCCCCTCCCAGCCCCTGCCCAGCGACGCGCCCGACCTGGAGGACAAGAAGCACTTCTTGTCGCTCTTTGGGCTCGTGTACCTGAGCCCGGAGAAGCTGGAGGGTGAGTGCGGTGTGGTTACCCGCACGGGCGGCAGGACCAGATTAGGTTTGACGGTGGCCCAAGGCTGTTACACTTCAAATGCCTCTCTTGACAATTTCACCAGCACCCGTGGCCGATGAATGCAAATACTCCTCTGTTATTTACCTTGGTTATTTCAGTTCTCGTTATAACTTGTAGAGCTAAATCAAAGTTAAAACAACCAAAACTATTTTCATTTTGGCACGTAACTGGCAATAATATGCAATGATTATAAGTACCAAATTATCTCTAGGATTTAGCGCAGTGCTACAGTATGGCATTTCAAACATAAAATAAATATTTTTTTAGGGGGGGGGGGTGGGGGCCTCAAATTTAGAGGCTCTGGGCTGCAGCCTCTAAAGCCCCCCCCCCCCCCCCGTGCTCATCCGGCTTTGACGAGCAGATATTTTGCTGGCCCACAGTGCATTGCGCCATTCCCCTGTTGGAGGTGTGACCCGCTGCACCAATGCTGGATTACCTGCACCTGGCGAATCGCCGTAGTGCAAGCTCAGCTCGATTTACACAATGTAAACGGTCCTTTGTGTGCACGTGCAGAGATTGAGCACACGATTCAGCTCATCCAAGCCCTGAAGCAAAAGATCCTGGCAGCTGCTCCGGCTGTCCCCGCGGCCCCGGGTGAGCGAGCACCATCAGCGCCTCTTAATTATTTTTTGGTCTTTATCCCAAATGTGCTCTTGGAAGAATGTCGAGAGACGAAGTATCCATTCGGATCTCTCCCTTAGAGCGCGACCTGTGGGTCCACAGGGTAAATGGTGTCACCGTTCCTTCAACTCTGCCACTGAGAGTGTCACGTGACATTCAAGCTGATGTGTTAAATTTTCAGAGCTGGGATTCAGATGAATTCAGTATAATCAAATGTAATGTGATGGCTTTTTTGTGCAGTCATTAGTGACCAGGCTGAGACCATAAACTCACTTGATTTGAGAATGCGGTTTAATCACAGGCGGCAGCTTGGCTTCCAAACCAGGTTCTGAGAAGTGCCAACTTAAAACTGACTTCTGAGACGGTGTTGCTCATTCTGTTGTGATCAAAGCTGCTTCTGCCAGCCAAGGGGGCAAGCGGGCGGGCGGGCGAGCGAGCAACGGCACTCTCGTAGGGTACACCATGCACGCAGCCTGCCCTGTCGGCGAGAGGAAAAAACCAGAGCCCTGAACCCGCTCCTGTTTCTGCGGAGAGCAGATGACGCGCTTAAGGAGGCCGGCGAGGGTGCTGCGAAAGCAGGGACCCAGCCGCAGCCCGGCCGGGCTGCCGGGGTGCCAGGGTCCCCCACCCCTGAGAACCTGAGCGCGCTGGCGGAGCGTCCGCAGGACCACCCCACGCGCGGAGGACCCACAGGGGGTGCCGTGAACGGAGCGGAGCGATGGGATGCGGAGGAGGCCGGGCGATTTGCACAGGAGTTCCACCAGTCGGTGCTGCACTCCACGCAGACAGCCTCGCTGCTCAAGGAAGGTAAGAGTCAATACGTGCAGAACTCGCGCTCTGTCCCTCGACGTACAAACAGACGAATATTATCCAGCAGCAGCAGCATTTGTTTTGACATTCTGAGCTCCCTCTGGTGGTTCGTCTAGTGGAGGCCCTTCCGCCAGCAGTTGCACGAGGGGAGCACGACAGCCTCTACATTTTTAAGGGGGGAAAGAGCGTTCGCCACGAGACGGATTCTAAAAACGCTTTGATGTCTTTTACAGGGGCGCTGGATGGACCGACGTGCCCGGAGAGCGCACGGGGGCGACAGCAGCGGCAGCAGCAGCAGGCTGAGGCCAGCTCGGACAGCGAGAGCGAGCCCGGGCGGCAGTCGCGTGCATGGCAGGGAATTGCTGCCGTCCTCGAGGGATACCAGCAGTTTCTCGCAGGTGCGGTGCCGTTGGTGCCGCACCGACGGCAGCCACGGCGTGGGAGGCGGCACACGTGGCTCCCTCCTCGGTCTCACCCTCGCTCAGGGGCAGCACAACGATATTCAGGCCAGAGACCAGAGGCCTGGATGCCATTGTGCCGTTTGGACGACGCTGCAGAACTTCCAGACGAACGCTTGACATTGAGTCATGCTAAGAGGTTGCTCACCTAGGCTGATAAATTGGACATGGACATGGGCATGGCTAAGTTTCAGGGCTGGATGTGGTATCTTCGCCCCCAGGACACCAGAACAAGAAAGACTCTTCCCCCCCCCCCCTCCTGGTCATTTCCTTCCAACCCCCCCTCATGCGTACAGAGACACAGAGGCAAACACGCAGTCCCCAGCGCTCGCTCTTGGGGCACACACCAATGCAGCCTTGTGTCAGGTCAGAGAACATTGGAGGGTGGAATTGAAAAGAATAAAACAGCAATTAATGAAGGTAGCACTGCTTATATTGTTTTTGTATTATAACGGTAAGATGAATAGATGCTACAGCTTCCTGGTGTGCTGTTCGGGTTGCACCCTGGCTGTTCAGCATGATGTCCGACGTTTCTCTCCATGTACTGGGAGCTTTTTCAGGAACTGAATGCTGAGCAACACACGATGCAACCCGAACACATATCAGAGAGCTACACAACACAACCACGAAATGTGAGCAGTAGCACGAATAACAGTTCATCTCTTTAACAAATTGAAAAACATTGAATAAAAATAATAATTGGGGGCCCCTCTGAAGTTTTGGGAAAGAGACAAATGCCCTGTTGTAGTGACATGACCGAACAGTAGCGCATTTTCCGCTTGTGACAGAGGTGTTGGTGGTTTTAGCCGAGTGGCCGCCCACGTTTAATACTCGGAGTGTATTAACCAAATGTACTGTCCACCGTCTGCTACATTGTGGGTGTTAAAGATCCCGTGACATCATTTGAGGCTGGGCGTAGCGCGCGTGTGACCGCTGTGCGTCGTGTCATTGCCCGTGCAGAGCGAAGCTCAGAGGAGCAGTTCCTGCACAAGAGTTGCAGTCGGCTGAGCTCCCGACACGCGGAGATGAAGGCGGAGTATGACCGGCTGAGTGCGCGCAGAACGGTACGGCCAGCAGGCACTGCCCACGCACCCGGCCACCACTTCACATCTACCCCTTACCGTCCCTTTCACCTTCACCATCAATCCGCCCACATTTTCTTTGAATGCAGAGTGCCGCAGCAGAACATCGTGTTTGTGAGCACAGGTTTGTTTGGGTCAAACAAAGCCCAGTGGATCGGTCACCTGAATATTCTATAGAACATAAACATGTAATTTTTCTTTCAGACAGAAGGTCATTATTTGTTGCAGACGAAGCTGAATTTTGAGCATTTCCTGCAATTACAACAGCAGGATGTCTCTTTGGTGGATGATCATAGGAGTCAGGTGCCCTGGTTCTGAGCCGCGTGGAATCCCTCCGGTGTGAAATTGCTGCTGCGTAGCACGTGGTGTGTTGATGACGGTGGTTGTGGTGATGACTGTTGGCAGGAGCTGATGGGCCTCCTGATGGATCTGGAGAGGGACCGCCAGGCTTGCGAGACGGCCGCCGACGGTCTGGCGCAGTGCCTTGTCCTACCCAATCCCGCACACCCCCACTCGAGGTGAAAGTGGCAGCTCGCTCCCCGTACCTCCCAAAGGGGACGGCGCTCTCGTAAACATGCATCCGTTGGCTCAGAGTTGCCTGCCGGTGAATTATTTCGACTGCCGCGCCATGGCTTTGTGGTGCTTGAAGGACCCAGTGGCGACCTCTGGAGACGATTTCAGGACGGTTGTTGTCGTCTTGCCACCGCCGTGTTTCTCTGCGGCTGAGGGGCGAAAACTTTGGCCCGAGTGCCCCTCACCGGCCCTGCCAATCACCGCTCAGCCACGTGGGACCCGACGTGAAGGAGCCCGGAGGGAATTCACTGCCGCTCCATTCGGAGTGCTGGTAATCGAGGACCCAAGGAGCCGAGGGTTTGACCTTTGTGATACCTGATAATTGCACTTAAATATTGCCTTGAGGAAGTAGGTTCATGATTGGAGCGGGAGAGAGCCGTGCGTGGTGTTGTACTGTACTTAATGAGTTGGTTTTTTTGATGGAACAAGCACGTTAAACCAGGAAAGTGTCGTCGTGTGTTGGATTTTCACAAACTTCAAAGTGAACGGTCTTTGCTGAACATTTTTTTATAAATGTCTATAACATGTTATGTTACATTGCAATGGAATGAATCAAGTGAAAACAGCTTAGCTGTGATTTGTGTTTTAGGGAGCAGATGCCGTTGGGTTGACGCATTCCTTGTACACCTTATATTTATTACGCGGGCAGCTGTGGGTTCATGAGGACCCTTGTGAGCGTGACGCAATGTGCATGTTGGCCAGTCGCATTTGCTTCACGAGTCTCCACACCATCACTTATCCTCTTTTACTTATCAAGCATTTATCAAGCATCATAAAACCTTGAACATGGCTTAATTTCGCATTGAATGTTTTCCAGGTCGTTGGTGGACTGGAGTCAGCCTCGAGATAGGATGGCAGACAGTGGGACTAGGCCTAAATTAAGTGGTGTGCCGAGTGCGTACACATTTTTTGGATTACTTATCCGGACAGACCCAGCTGAGTTGAAGCCCTGGTGTAACCACACAGATGTTGGTTTTTAATTCCGCCAGTAAATTGGTGTCAAGTGGACGCTGCTGCCCCGCAGTGAAACACCGGTTGGTGTCGCTGGTGCAGTGCGTAACCATGCAAGAGGTCACTGACAAGCAGGTCCATGCAAATACAAAAAGAAATATCACAAACCCCCTCATCGGGACACAACATCCTTGTCAGTTATTTATTAAAGGTGTCGTACTGGGCTATTGATCCATACAGAGCATTACGTCTTGCCCTGGCAATGCACTCTTGTGAGCATGCATTTAATTTCACATTCACAGCTCCGTTCAGGCCAATGACGTTTTATTTCAGATAGTGCATTATCTTAGGTGTTTTTCACACCGAATTTAACATTTTTTAAGTGCAGCTTTGTGTTTTGTCATTGCACCTTTTTGAGTTGGACGATAAAACAATTAAATGATTAAATCAATGCATTTGAAATGCAGTAACCATTTGGTTTCTTTAATTTATTTAAAAATTACCAACATGTATTAAAGTATGTTTTATCAAATTATATATTATCAACAGTTTAATTTCCATTGGCCGGTTAGCATTTAATAAAGTATCGTTTTTAAAAGACCACTTTATTGAATAAAATATATAAGGAAAGAATATATTAACAAAGTATATGTGCGCAGTGTACAATGCTCTATATGCAGGTGCAGGTGTGTGTGTGCGTGTCAACCCCTCAAGGGGCCTGCTGCATGCATGTGCCCAGGCTGGCCACACCGTTGTAACAAACTCTTACAGATGGCCATCTCGCCAATGCTGGGCTACCTTCTTGAAGAACACCTTCAATCGATTAAAACATTCGAGTGGAGGCGTTTGCAACTGAGGCACGTGTGAAGAGAGAAGCCGTGGGTTTTTGTTTATTTTTGGGAAGATGGAGCCGAGTTTGGAAGTCTCCGTGGCCCCCAGCGGCAACTGCTGCTTCGCGTATACATTGGTGTGACGTTTGCACTTCCAGCTTCAAATCGAACATGTTTTTTAAAGCTGTCAGCAAAGCTATTTGCCATGATTGTATGCAGGATTTACAAAAAAACAGCCTTGGGAGTTTTTTTTATAACAAAGAGAAAAGTACATTTTAGTTCAAATCCCAAACAAGCCATGTGCGCGGGGATCCTGGTCTAGTCGTTGTGTATGGAGAGAGTAAAGCACCTGCAGCAGATGGTACCGGCCTTGCTCTGCGTTCTGTTTGGATGGCTTCTGCCGGCTGCCTTGCCCCAGGGGGCATGCAGAGCCCGTGGCGGTGTGCGGCAAAGGGCCACACAGGGTAATGAGTCGCGAATTTGCGTCGCTGCCCCTGGGCAGCCTCTGTGCAAGAGTTGGCAAGGCCTGGATGCAGTGCGTTCGCCAAAAGCAGCAGCAGTAGCGGTGCGTTGTGAACGCGGCACTGCCCTGTGTGGGTGCTCTACTCATTCATGAGTATTTCATAAATACTGCATGTGGCTGTAGGTATATACAGCCGTGGCCTCTGTGGTAGCGTGGCACTTGCTAAACGTGTGTTTCGTATTTTAACTTAACGTTTGCCTATTTGTGTTTCCTCTGTGTTTGTCGAAAGATCAATTTTTCCAGGTTTTCTGTTTGTAGCAGGGTGTGTGAAATGACACCAGCACACCTTGGGTTGGATCCAATTCTTAACCTGGGTTATTTTCTTTTCTTTTGCTAATACTTCTGCCAAAACCTTTGCTTCGGAATTTGCATTAACAAAGATATGAATAAAGCTTATAGTGTATTTCAGGGTGCAGTGTTGCTTTGTATTGGTACACTGTATGGTACACCGTATGGTACACCGTATGGTACGCGGTGGTACGCAAGGGTACTCCCACAGTACACTGTGGTACACTGTGGCACACCATACGGAACACTGTATATTACACTGTACGGTACATGGTACGGTACACTGGGCCAGAGGTCAATGTTGTGATTTTAATGATCCACTTTTTTATCTGCTGTTAAATATTGGCGTTGGTATATACTCATACCCTCCCTCTATTGGTGTATTTTGAAATAAAATTTCATGAAACTTGACCACGTGAAATGTGCTGTTGTTTTTGAAGCCCGCTAATTATCATTTGAAATCTTGCTTGCAGGAAATCTTTCACACTTGCACATTGCTTGGCACTTGTAACTCCATCCATGCCATCCTGGAGTCATACCTGCTACTCCTGCAGTCGACTTATGGGCAGGCACCCACACGTGCTTTGGACTGCAGATGTGCTGGGACGTGAGCCTTAATTTGCATCGTCCCCGTGGTGTCGTGATGAAACTGGCGCTTTCCCTGGACGTGTCTGATTTAAAGTCTCTTGTAAACGCTGTTAAGTGGAGGTGGTGAGATTTCTGTGCCCTCTAGCACCACAGGGGCGCCAGCTGTTAAAGGCACACGAGCGCCTGTGGCCGGGGCCATTCTTGTACTTGGCTCCTGGGCTGTGTGCGTGATCTCGTCTCGAGGAGTCTCTTATTGTGTCGGGGGCAAATTTAAATTGGGTCCTTATGGGAGCCCCGCAGTCTACAATTGAATGAGCACAATGTGGATTGCATAGGCAGTGCAGGCTACACTTAAGCCCTGGCATGTTCAATTCCATTTTATTTATCTCTTAAATATGTTTTAAATATCAGTGTTCGGCACATAGGTTGCCTAAAGGTGCTGTCGCTCCTTTTACTTCTTTTACTTCTTTGCGTATCTTTACCATGCTCCTGGTCTGTGTGCCCCTCTCCAAGTATCTGCCCCTCTGCCTTCGTGTGGCTCCGTGTCTGTCAGACACTGAACACTGTTGTAGCTCTGTGTCCACATTCGTCATGCCTCTATCTGTCCCCGTGTATCTTTGTCAAACGTGTCTCCATTTCTCTGTTTGTCTCTGTGACTCTCTTTTTTTACTTAAAACTTTCGTGACTGCAGGAATTCATATTCTTCGGTTATTTTGGTAAAGGCACGTCGATAGAAATAATAAAAATAAGGTGAATTAAAATATCACGACGTTTCGATCGCAACACAAGCGGTCGTCATCAGGATCATCTGGATGATGACCACCGCTTGTGTTGCGATCTAAACGTGATATTTTTAGTCACTTTATATTTTTCATTATTTTTTTCTATCTGCGTGACTTTACAGAAAGAACCAAAGAATATTGACTCTCTCTTTTTCTGTGTTTAGTGTTCGCCCCCGTGGCGCTGGGTCCAAGTCTCTCCTACGTTTGTGGGGCTTTCATGTCTCTGTCCATGTCTCTGTCCATGTCTCTATCCGTCGTCTCGCCGTGTTTCAAATAACTAACTTGGTTTTGAAAGCCTCTGTAGAGAACACCCCCCTCTTTTACGTTGCCCCCCCCCTCCCATCGATGTTCATCTATCTTGGGACCTTTTTGCCAGTATCAAGGTATGAAAAACAAGAGTAGGTTTTACCCTTTTTGGCAATAAAACAGGTGTTAAGATGTTCAAACACCAAATCGATACCTTTTGCAAGGAATCAAGTCGACAGTAGCCGCACGTAATTGTGGTGACAAGGTATAGATTTGGTGTTTGAACATCTTAACACCTGCTTTATTGCCAGAAAGGGTAAACCCTATTCGATGTTGATATGTTGTCGCTGCTGGTGGTGATGTGTCCATGAGGTGTGCTGTTCGGCCCTGGACAAAGCCCCCTGATGGACTGTCTGCCTTGGCAAGGGTAAGGGCGACCAGCGGTGACCGATATACCCGCACTGACTCAAGACACAGCAAGGGCCCCACCGTGCGCCGTGGTTTGGTTGATTATACTGCCAGCCAGGGCCAGCCTGAGCATCCTCACAATCAGCTGGATGAAGGCTGTGTCCCAAGCCGCCGTCACCGTCCCTCAAGTTCCCGCGTTGCAAGAATCCATATCCTTCCATGGGCACCGCGGTGGCGAGGAGATGTCAACTACCTCGTCTGGTATACAGGAGGTCGTGGGTTCGATCCTGACCCTGATGTCTGTATCGTTGGAGTTTGCGTCTCTCTCCATGGTAGTGTGGATTGTTCTCCGGGTCCTGTGGGTTTCCCCTCCACATTTAGAAACATGCGTTTAGAGCATTTGGCTGCGATACATTTCCACATGATAAGCCACTTGGCTGCGCTATAATTGATGATGGCCAGGTCGCTTGGCCTTACCTGGTAAATTGTTTTGTCTCCGTGGCGGGGCCTTCATTCTCGTCATCATTGTAACGTACCCTGCTCTTAAAATGAGATGTTACTGTATGTGACTTGATTATGTTCAGTAACCCTCTTCCCGTCTCAGTATCATTACAAGCGTGCATCTCTTCACTATCCTTCTGTGTGCACTCTCCCACTTCTGTTCCATTTAGTCTGTGAGGGTCCGTGGTTCTGCTCGTCACGCCAGATCGTGTGCACCGATTGAACGCGTGCTGGTGTCGGGCCACACGGGTGCACTGCTGCTTCTGGTGATCAAATTCAGTTGTCCGAAAGTAACGCACTCGAACCAAACAATCCACTTCTGGATGCATAACTCTCTACGCCGTATTGGTACAGGTGGTTTGACCATTCTTTGACACGCTGGACAATTCACGACAACCCCAGGACCGGTTATCTATGGCCAGGAATCGAACTCGTCTCGCCGGGATCAGATCGTAGTGCGCTAACCACTGTGCCACCGCTCCTCGCTTTATCACGGCTTTGACGTCGCAGAAGCAAATTAAAACGTTGGACAACAGCGCCCTCTTGTGGCCGTGGAGGGGAGGGCGGCGACTGTGAAACGTCGCATCACGGAACAAGGAAGCGACGCTCCCCTCCGCCGCGACGCTGATGTCTCCATGTGCGACGTTCGGCTCGAGCCGCGCTGGTTGATGTCTCTCGTCGCGGCCGACGGAGCGCGCCGACGGTGACCGGCTCCGCAGCGCTCCTCGTCACGCCGAGGTCCGCCCCGACTCCCGACGTGGAAGACGAGGCGCTGCTGCTGCCGCCCCCGGTGTCGGGGAGGCCGCGGCCCGGCCGGGACATGCGGAAGGCGACCGTCCTGGCGGGCGGCGCGGGGCTGTGCGGGGCCCTGGCCTCGGCCTCGGCCAAGTTGGCGGTCGGGGCCCGGCTCCTGCACGCCGCCTGCCTGCGCCTGGGCGCCCGCCTCGGCCTGGCGGACAGCGCGCTCACCTGCTCCTCGGTGAGGTCTGCCCGCCTCCTGCCCGCCTCCTGGGCGGTCACCCTGCACCCGCCGTGGGTGGCATGTTCACCATCTGTGCAGCATTCAAAGAGATGCGTATCGCGAGCGGGTCTGTTTTCACGTCACTTTATTTGAATAAACAAAGCGGACGTTCTCATTCAAGCAGAGGACCAAATTGGAAGCGCAGTTTGTGTCATTTGCAAGCAGCACAAGGTGTTGTATGCGACCAGACAGCGACTGTTTTCATTAACAAGCGTTAAGCTTGTTCCATAATTGCTTCTCATCCTTGTTCGCGAGTTGAAAACAAATCCTCAATTTCCAGTCGGTTTTAATAAAGACGTGCGAATTACTTTTTGGAGCCCCCACGAGCGCACCGTTTGCATTACGAATCACGCAGCCGGTCTCTGAATATCGTCACTGCGTTTTGTCAACTCGCAGGGTGAGCGAGCTAATTTGTCCCATCCTCTTGACATCGGTGCCGTCTGGAGGTGAAGACTAACATCGAGCGGGCAGCACTTGTCATCGGAGCGCTTGGAATCCCCGCTGCGTGGCCTTGAGCGTGGCCTGGAGCGTGTGCGTGGCCTGGAGCGTGTGCGTGGCCTGGAGCGTGTGCGTGGCCTGGAGCGTGTGCGTGGCCTGGAGCGTGTGCGTGGCCTTGCGTGGGCCCCCGGCTCCTCGGGCACGGGCAGGCTCTGAGCAGGTGGCGTGCCTCTGCGCGTGCAGGTGGCCCTGCTGGTGAGGGCCGTCACGTTTGGCATCACGCTGCTTCTCAACGCTGCAATGTGGACCCTGTTCGTGAAGTCCCTGCAGTTCTCCTCCTCGAGTGTGCAGGCCACGCTCACCAGCACGGCCTCCAACTTCCTCTGCTCCGTGAGTGGCCGACGGCCTTCCCTGTACTTGGTTACACAAGGGGACCACCTGAAATCACGTCCCTACCGACCCTACCGACTTCGTCAGGCTATCGATTTTTCCATTTTTTATCACGTATTGATTTTCAAAGCAAGAATTGTTTGCTCGGCCGCATGGTAAAGTTTGCCTGAGTAACTTTCACAAACTGTACAAGCATGGGGGGTGGGGTGCTCATCCACCAGTGGAGTAACAAAAGGACTTTGCATACGTGTAAAATTCTGTTTGCACCACTCGGTCTACGTAAGTGTGTTTAACGCTGCGTGCCGTGTGAGTGCAGGCCGTCCTGGGTAGCGTGCTGTTTGGAGAGCCTCTGGCGGGGCTGTGGTGGCTCGGGATGTCGCTCACGATGGCCGGTCTCGCGCTGGTGCACTCGGCCAAGCCGGAGGGGACGAAGCGGGCAGCGCCCGTGGCCACGCAGAGAACGATGCCGGGGCCCACGGCGAGGACCTCGCCGGGGCCACCGCCGGGGATGGCACCAGGGGTCGGACTTGGAGCGAATCCCGGGGTGGTGGCGCGAGATGGGGACAAGAACCACAAACGTCAATAATATCTCTTTTCCACTGTACACCCGAGTCGCTCTGCAGCTATGTTGAGCATGGCTCAGGAGGCACTAGGTTGTTTTTAAACTGCGTAAGCCAAGCCGTGCCGCTGAAGTCACACTCAATGAGAGGGGGTGCGCGTGTAGACGACACGGTAGTGACGTTGTGTTATCAATGTCTTGACTGACATCGGACGCATTGGAAGAGTCAACAGACCCGTCCCTGGCTCTGCTTGGTCCCTAGGCATCCGCTGTCGAGTGTGCACGTGGTTCAACTGCTTTCGGGCCCAGGCACTGGGACTATCAAGAGGAAGGAAATTGCACAGGGTGCTGTCACATTTGATTCCTTGCACCAAGGCCCATGCCAACCACACTACACCACTGCATCATCACCTCTGTAATGTGAAATTCAAAACACGTGTGCAGATGTTGAGTGCAAAGATCTAATGCTATGTGTTACATGAAAAATGCAGTTTAAATTACTGTACAGAAATTATTGTAAAACGATTGCAGCAAAGGGGAATTAAATATTTTAAAAATATTAAATCTTGAAAACAGTCAAACAGAGACTTAATGGAAACAACTTTCTGGTGCATCCAGATGTACACATCCCTCTACCAAGGTCAAGAGGTCATTGTCCCCGTAGCCACTGATGCCTCCACACTCATTCCCTCGGCTGTTGCATATTTGAAACCTAACCTCCAATGGATTTCTCCTTAAAGTATCACATCATCTGAATTTTTGTCTTCCCCTTGGTCGCCAACCTCTGAGTGCCACTCCAATGCCCGTTTGCGTAACCTCCCGTCTATAATACGTGTCCCCCATACAGTTTTACCTCCCCTTGGTAATCATGTATTGTGAGATTCTGAAATAAAAAATATACTTACTGTGGCCTGCCTTGTAATTCCTAGCATCAGCATGCACCTGTATTTAAAGACCCGAGGCTTTTTTCCCATTCCAGTGGGGTTCCCATCGATGGTCCTCTGTCTATGGGGAACCCAGAAGCACTTTTAAAGATTGAAAACTAATTGAAAAGACTTTACGGTAGTCTGTAAATAGACGCATTCGTACCAGCCAAGGGCGGCGTCATAGCACGTGGGAGGTGGCCAGTGGATGTCTCGTGGTGTTGCTCACCACTTGAGGAATGTGGGCTTCATGATATGTTATGACAACCATTTTTATTGTCATGATGCATGACGAGTGATGTATGATGTGTAATTGATTTATAATAATGACGTGAAATTTTTGAACGATTGATTATAATGATGCTTGTTTTTATGTTTCATATACGATGAGTGATTACTGATGATGCTGGATGATTGATGAAGGATTCATAATGAGGAACTGATGATTGTTGGATGTATGTTGAACTTATTTTGCATCGTACGTAGCCCACCGTGCTAATCGGAGGATCATTGGTGATGTGTAGCTGACATTGGCGTGATAACGTGTGATTCATGATACACGTGTCTGCCGGATTAAGCTGGTGCGGGGCCTGTAGCATATGTTAATAAGGGGGGCCCTAAATTAGAAGAAAACCCCAATAATTTGCATAGTAAAGTAGTTGCATTTTTTCATTCGCTATACAGACAATACGACAAATCGCTAACCTCAACACCTAGTCGTTCATAAAAGTTGAAGGCAGTATAGTATTATAGTAATAGAGCAAGTGCAGAATCACTGAGCCGGAATTGATAGCTTGGAAGCATTTAGTGCGGGGCCCTTGAAAGTGCGGGGCCCTTGAAAGTGCGGGGCCCTTGAAAGTGCGGGGCCCTTGAAAGTGCGGGGCCCTTGAAAGTGCGGGGCCCGTAGCTACTACATATGTAGCTATTTTTGCTACTGGGATAATCCGGCCCTGCCTCGTGTGTGAATCATGATAACAATTGATGATGTCAGGCGTGGGGATGCCCTCATCCAGCCGTGGATTGGCATGGGCACCGTGTCCGGGACGCGTGGTCGTGAACCCCAATACCGGCCTCGGCCACTGGGAGGGGGGGGGGCGCGCGTGCCGAGGGGAACCCAAGAACCGGAGGCTCGGAGCGCATCCAGCCTCAGCCAGAGCCGCGCTCGGCGATTCGACTGGGGCGGCGTCGAGGGGACCCACGGGGGTCTGCAGGGGCTCGCGGGAGTCGCGAACCATGCTGCCGCGGCGCTGACAGGATCGGAGGAAGCACCCTCGTGCTATGGAGGCCCTCACAGACGACGGTGAAGCCGGGAATCGGAGCCCTCTCCCCGCTCGGTGTCCCCCCCGGCCGCCCCAGCCCACGGCGCGCGTGCGCCCGGGGGGACGGGGCAGGAAAGAGGGGAGGGAGCGCGGGGCACTCGGGCCCGGGCCGGGAGTGGCGTTGGGGTCGGTGGGGTTTGTGTCGGGGCGGCTGTCAGAGTGAGAGGTGATGGGGGTCGGGAATTAGGAGGCTGATATTGTCGGGGTCTGGGATAGGGGTCAGCGCTACGGATTTGGGGTTCCGGGCTAGGGGGTCAAGGATAAGTGGTTGTTCGGTCATGGAGACGGGGGCCTTTAATCAAATGTGGCGAACCCATCCCGCGGGAGGAGACGTCGAAGCGAGGCGTTTGATGCGACCCCGCACAGAGGCCGCGGGCTCGGGGTGGCCTGAGGGGCGGCGACTCACGCCCGGGGGTGAGCGGCCATGGCAGGCAGAGAGCAGCCTGCCTCGGGTCACAGGGCTTGGGGCTCGGGGTTCATTCCGAGGTCACGAGGCTTGGGGTTATGGTTGTATTACGAGGTCACAGGGATTGGGGTTATGGTTGTATTACGAGGTCACAGGGCTGAGTCTCGGGTCACTCGGCTTGTCGTTATGGCTCTGGGCCGAGGGTCGTTATCTACAAATTGGAGTCTCACTGCGCAGGTTCAAAAAGCACCTCAAGACGGGGAAATGCCCCCCGAGAGGTTGGGCCACTGGTCAGTGGGAGGGGGGGGGTCAGTGGGAGGGGGGGGGTCAGTGGGTCGGGGTCAGGGTGAGGGGGGTCAGTGGGTGAGGGGGGGGGGGTCAGTGGGAGGGGGGGTCCGGGTGAGGGGGGTCAGGGTGAGGGGGGTCAGTAGGTGAGGGGTGGTCAGGGTGAGGGGGGTCAGTGGGTGAGGGGGGGGTCAGGGTGAATCAGCACCTTGCCTAAGCCTCAACATCGTTCGCTCACAGCCTCTGGCAGTGAGGGGTGTGGAGCTGTCGTTGTTGTATGAACTGTATAGATACTGATGCTGCTACTGCCACGAAAGCCGATGCTACTGCTTTGTTGCGTGCATGCGTATAGTAAGGCAGTGCAGCCTCTGGATGTCAGCGTTATGTTAACGCCTCGTGGATGTAGATAGGGTACTGCTCCTGCGACTCGTGCCACTTTGTGCAGCCCTTGGCAGTGAAGAAGTGCGGCTCCTGCACGCCTGTGTTTTGACCCTGTTCATGAAGTGTGCCTTGCCATCCCCGTGACGGACACAAGCGCATTGTGAGACCTCTTTGCCAAGTGTGTATGCGTCACCGTCCCCGCGCTGGATGCGTGGATTGCGATTGCCAAAGGCGCTGGCACGTATTGGTCGTGCCCGTCAATGCCGCGTGCTTATTTGGGGCGTAAATACAGCGTCACATTAGCGAGAGGCGGTGTTGATGAGTGGGGGTGGACGCTCGGCCCGTGGTGACCGCGCTCCCCGCTGCCGCTGTGCCCGCTGACAGGCGACATCTGCCGGGTGTGCCGGTCCGAAGGCACCGCCGAGAAGCCGCTCTACCACCCGTGCGTGTGCACGGGCAGCATCAAGTACATCCATCAGGACTGGTGCGTCTGCAGCCTCGCGTGAACCCCGCCCTCGTGGACGTCCGCGTCGCTGCAGTGATGCGAGGAGTGGAGCCAGCTTGGCACGGGGAACATCTCGGGAGCTTGTGCCGAGAGCTAGTGCTCACAGAGACGGATGGATGGAGCTGTCATCGGGCCAATGATTTAGTGCCTCATCATAATCTCAGCAAGAGTTGTGCTGACGCTTGTTATACACTGTTATTAATGTTTAACTTTATCCAATTAGCTCTGTCCGTCTGTTAATCTGTTGCGTAGGGGGTACACGATAACTCTCATAAATTAAATGTTCATATAAATCTGTATTGTAATGAGAGACTGTCTTTATAGAAAACCAGACACATTTATACAAATGTTGCCAAAAACTTTGCTATAAAAACCAACATGACATAAATAAGCCTTTTCAGGCAAGGCAGTGACGCCCAGACGCCTTGTGACTTCATATGGTGGTGCGTCTGTGAAAGTAACGTTATTACTGCTAATTCAACTCTTTGGAGGACGAATGTGATGGAAAGCCGATGCAGAATCCTTGCAAATGATTGTGTTTAGAAGAGAATGTTCAAATTGCTGTGTTCATTGAGTTATATTCACTGGTGTCCACAGTTTGCTACAATGGCTGAAGCACAGCAAGAAGGAATATTGCGAGCTGTGCAAGCACAGATTTGCGTTTACACCAAGTAAGTCCACGTTGGAATTACTTTCTCTGAACCAAGATGTGCTTTAACTGTGATCATCTTAGTGGGCGTGGCCACTGTTTGCATGGGTTGTGATGGCAGCAGGAAGCACAAGGAGGAGGGTGCTGGATTGGAATTTTTTGCCTATTCCTTTTTGTGTTTTGCATGCAGGAGGAAAACATTACACTAGACCCTCGGTTAACGTTCTTAATCCGTTCCACGAAAACTACTGTTTTACCAAAATAAGTGTTCATTGAATTCACTTATAAGTTGAAAAATAAGTAAAAATCACTGAATCTGCAAGATAACTGTTTCCACTGGCAAAACAGAAAACATAATGTAAACAAAGCCAGTCGAGGTCGAAACGCTCATAAATGGGCATCTCTGATTGGCTGAGGGCATGGCTCAGCCCCACTTACAAGTGCTCCGATTGGCCTAAGTTGGCTCCCGCATGCATAACGTAAACATACCGCGAATCAATATATTAACATTAGTCTAAACCATGGGGTTCTATGGGAGGTGAAGCATTAACCGAAAAACCATGAACCGATGTCACTGTTAACCAAGGGACTACTGTAGCTGCAGAAAACCCTCAGACGAATGGATAACATTCACATGCTCGCACCTGACCGGCTTCCAACCACCCTACCACAGAGTAATGTTCGTCGCACAACAGTCGAACCAATATTTTTAATTCTCAAGAGCCCGGAATTTTGTCAAATTAAATGGAGAAAGAAATACTCAATGGCGTTTTTTTTGCGCGTTCACACTTGAGAACCCAGTTTAATCAGAGACGAGTGAAACCTGGATTTGAACCCAATATTGTCCGCCTGTCTTCTAACCCCCACGGCGTCTCGTGTGTGCCCGCGTGCAGTCTACTCGCCCGACATGCCGTCTCGGCTGCCGCTGCGCGACATCCTGGCGGGGCTGTTCCGCAGCGTGTGCACGGGCGTTCGCTTCTGGCTGCACTACACTCTCGTGGCCTTCGCCTGGCTCGGGGTCGTGCCCCTCACCGCCTGTGAGTGAGCGGCGAGCGCGACTCCCGGAACCCCGGACGCACGTGCGCGCCCACAACTCTTGAGAAAATGGGACCGCCGTTGCGCTTTTATGTAGGGTGATGTGTTGAATCGTGTGTGTGCGCACGTGTACTGTGGGAGAAGGCGTGCGCTTTGGGAGGCCTTCATGCAGCAGTGGATTGATTATGGTTACTGATGATGATGCACAGCACAGTTTGCCAGTCTACTGGTGGATGGGGGCCTTCCCACGCTGTGGGTCATGGGGGTTGTTTGATTATACTTCGCGACGCTGATCAGTGTGGATTGATTAAGGTGGGGTGCATAGACATAGGAGCATATAAGTGCAGTACATTAGTGGGTTTTGTTGCAGTGCCTTAAGCTGCCCATAATGTACCACAGCCACATTCCCGCTTAGTTTCTGAGATCTGATGGGATCGGGCATGTTCTGGGCCGATCTGATCATGGTCTGTGTTTAATTAAACTTTATTATTTCTCCAGGAGTTCACCATTAAGTCTCAGGATCCTATTTCAGGAGGGTTCTGCATTTGGTATATTTGGCCAATGAAGTTTTAAGAATGATTTTGAATTTTGAAGCAAAAAAGAATAATGTAGAAAAAGCCCATTGCATGAGAGGGGTGTGACAAAGGGCTGCACAGATGGGTACTTGAACCCACATGTTTGGTTGCCACCTTCTGGCTGTGTCGCAGCCCAGTGGGTTTGGAAAGTAGTTGAATCCGTATGATCCACCAACCCTTGTGTCCAGAGGCAACCGTGTGTCACCACATCCGACTGTAACCGTCTCTAACCGGCCTGGAACAGCTTCGCCCTGAAGCTGGAGGCTGCAGAGCCTGCGTGTTTACAGTGCACAGCGTGTGCACCCACAGAGCCAGTATGTGCAGCTGTTTAGTTCCTGCAGCCACGCGGTGCATTGTGGAGGTTCAAAGCACGCTCTCTTAACATGCTTACTGCACCTATCCAGTTGTCTGGCATCAAAGAGCTTATCTCATTTGGCTGCCCAGTGATTAAATAGCGTGCGCTGATTTTGCGCGCCAGAATGTTAAGTAGGGATGTTCGAAGCGCTTTAGTTTTGCCCTGTTCCCAGCATCTCTGCTTGCCACGTGTGAGTGCACGCTCATGCCCGTAACCTCTGCTATGTTTCAGGCCGCATTTACAAGTGTCTCTTTACTGGCTCCGTGAGCTCCCTGCTGACCTTGCCCCTGGACCTTCTTTCTACGTGAGAGAGCACCGACAATCAACACCCGGGTTGTTCACCATTACATCGCTGCACCTGCGGTTTTACTTGGGGGCGGTGACGCAGCCCAGCGGTAGCGCTTTAGCTGCGTGTTGTAGCTGTTCGCGGTGTAATCCAGCCGGCCGCCCTTGTTATTACAGCGGGTGTATTTATTTTAAATAAACATGCCTTATGCTTTACAGTGAACATTAAAAGATCCCCTGAAGTAATTTGAAACGAGTAGGCCGTTGTGTGCCGGCATCATGTTCCAAATTTGCATAATAAAAAAATTACATGCAAATTTATCAATTTGGATAACACGTAACCACATCACCGTCTGCTGTCTGTGAAACATAGCGCTTTCGTGCCAGCCTTGCGCTGAGGATGGCACTCGTACCGCATGTACTAAATTATTCATGTGATTAATACACAACATTTAATTTCAGGCATTCACTCACTCCATCTTTTAACAGCATTATTGAACAGTTTGTGTTGTGTCAAAAGATGTAATTTCCTGCTCTAATGAGCATTGAGATGGAGATCATGGCCTCTTCACAGCCATGAGCCAGCAGGGGAATTTTCGCATTCCTACTGATGGGCGCGAGTCTATCCATAGGACTACCACTACTGACTTCCCCACAAAGTGTTTCTTATTTTATCGACCTCAAAGGGATGATGGTTTGAGGCAACCCCCAACCAGTATTTTAAATCACAACCTTCTGATTGCAAGCCGCTCACTCTACCGCTGAGCCACCTGGCCATAGTGATGGAGTGTACTTTCTGGAATTGCACTTCGATAAAATAAAAATAATGCATTGTCTGAAGTCTGTTGAGCTGAATTCCTGGTTGAGTTCAGGCTTGGTTAGAGACTCACTTGTTCACAGCTGGCTTGTGGCAGGCTGTGGGATGTATTGTGTGCGAACACCGCCTTGTTTGCCCTGGAGATTCTTGAGCTGCGAATCCCGTTTTGTTCTTCAGCTTTTGGCGTTGTGCTCAAATGATTTCCCTGGCAGAGGTCACATAATGTACTCTCGCTCTGTCTCCAAAAACACTTTTCACACGTTCGTTTTCAGTAAAGAAAAGAGCCTCTGCTCTGTAAGTGACAAACAGGGTGCAAACAAAACCAGGACAATTTCAGTATAATGTTGTGTAAGCATGGGAACATATTTTTGTTGACTTGTGCACAAACAAAATGTTTCATATGGCTGTTGTGGAGCCTTGTGATGTCTGCCAGGAATGGAGAACCTAATGCCCGTGGGAACAGGCCTACCGATTCAAAACGGCCTGCAAACAATATTTATCCGTCACTATAAGTATTTTGCCTTACAAATTGGGTATGAAAGGGGAATATTGCGTTGCATTTAGAAATGCAATGAGCCCTCAAAGTGTTTTGCGAAGTTATTAAATAGCGCTGCGGTGTAATTGAGGTGTGGCTCCACTTAAGATGTTTGAAAGCCCTATTCAGACGTTGGTAAGAAAATAGTCCCCGGCCCTGATGTATGTCATTTCATAAATCTACTGATACTTTATATCCAAATATACGTGAGCGACCATTACAGTTTACCAACACACATTCTGATTCAGCGTGGCTGTTTTGTCAACTCAGAATGTTTACTTGCACATTTGCTGCTTAGTCCTCATCATCAGCCATTCTCTAGCCACTGCTGGATGAAGGCCTCCCCACATGGTTGCCATTCCTCACTGTCCGGTGCTGCTGCCAGTCATCTCACTCCTGCATTTACACCAATCTCATTGCTCCTTCTCCGCACGGTCCTCCTCTGGCTTTCATTCAATTCTGTTCATCGGCCATCGTCCGTCATGCCCAGGCACATTTTCTTTTATTAATTGTCATTATGATGTCACTATTTCCGTATCCACGTGTTTCTCTTTCTGTATCCGTGTCTTTCCAAGCATGCATATCTCCATGCTTTGACCCCTTACCGTCTGTTTTTCCATTCTCTTGGTGTCAATGTTTTTGATTCATACATCACAGCTTGCTCGCACACACACACTCGCGTTCGTGCGCTGCCGCAGCCATGCTGTTTTTCTCTCCCCGTGTCGCGGTGATCCTCTGCAGGGACAATCTCCTGGCCGACTGCTTCCAGGGCTGCTTCGTGGTGACGTGCACGCTGTGCGCCTTCATCAGCCTCGTGTGGCTGCGCGAGCAGATCCTGCACGGGGGGGCGCCGCCCTGGCTGGAGCAGAACCAGCAGGCGCGCAACGCCAACCCTGACGCCAACCCTAACGCCAACCTCGACGTCAATCCCAACGCGAACGACAACGGCCCCGGGCAGCCAGCGCCGCATGACGCGCAGGTGAGCGTCGCGGTGGGCCCGCTGGCGTGAACGCTCGGGCGCTGTACGGGCACGCCTCGTGACCCGCTTGTGACGTCGAGGCGGTGATGCAACACTTAAACCTCCTCAGCGTTCCCCTGGCAAGGGAAGATCGCGCAGTCGATGTTCTCCATTGTCACACGATCCTATTGAAAACCGGCGACCGCACAGTGCGGTTACGCGAGCGACGTGTGGAGGGGTGTCTGCTGCGCATGCCTTTACTTGTTATTGTGTTCAGATCAAAGGATTGGATTGCTGGTTTATGTATGATAAATGTGAGGGTCCTGCATTAGGATGTCTGGCGCCCCCTCCTTGAAACTTGCCAAGCAGGGGGTGGCTGCAGTGCTGAAATGTTATTTGAGGTGGGCGATCACCCCCATCACCCCCTTTGGATCCACAGTCGGTTTGGCATGTGGAAGAGAAGTGGAGTTTGTGAAGAGGGGACGTCTGTATTGTTGGTGTTTGGTTGGCAGCGCTCTGTTAGCCGTGCGTTGCAGCGCTTTCCTGTGAGCTTGTCCGGTTTACCTGGGGCTTGTGTTACCGACGGGACTGGGCACAGGCTGAAGAGGTCGTCGATCTGGGGGCACCACCGGCCAGAGATGGAGCCGAGGATGGAGAGCCGGCGGGCGGAGGAGCGGCGGAGGGCGCAGGTCCCCAGGACGGGGTCGTGCCTCCCGTTGTGGCTGAGCCCGCGGGGGATGGCGCACCAGGGCCGCGGGACGTCGAGGAGGGCCCGCAGGAGGAGGAGGAAGAGGAGGTGGAGGGGGAGCTGGAGGAGGAGGTGGAGGTGGGGGATGGGGAGGAAGAAGAGAACGTAGAAGATGAAGCTGCAGCTGACGGTGTTGATGGTGCTGCCCAAGGTATCTCATTCGGTCACATGATGTGTCGGTCATTCTTTTACCCCCATTAGTAGCTCATCCATTCCTACACACGTTGTCAGGGGACGAATTCCTGCACTTTGTCGGTAGTGCATTCATCCATGCCTCTTGCGGTGGTGTACTCAGCTCTGCACCTGTGGGGAGTTCATCTGCTCTGTGTTGTTTGAAGGAGGGAACTGGAACGCGCTGGAGTGGGACCGAGCGGCAGAGGAGCTCACGTGGGAGCGGGTGAGAGGACACGCGCATTCAAAGACAAACATTCCTCATGTAGCCTATACAGGCTGTCGGGGCAAGTGCCGTTAGCGAGCTTTTACGAAGGCTTGCATAGCACGTGAGGGGTGTGTGACCTACATCACTCCCGACCACCTTTGTCTCCCCAGTGCTGATTTTTACACGCTGTACTAGCTATTTAATACTGAGTCAACCTAGGAGAAGCCGGTTCATATGTCCATCACACTTTAACACATGCACGTTGAGACACGCACAGGGTCGGGGAGACCTGGGGACTCGTGTCATGCGTCGCGCCATGTGAATTCCTTCCAGATGCTCGGCCTTGATGGATCCCTCGTGTTTCTGGTAAGAATATTTTTCTTCCTCTGTGGGATATTACACAGAGCGGAACCACATTCATAATCATTTACAGCCCATTGTCAATCCACCACTGCATGAAGGGCCTTTACACGTTACACATACGTGGTTCGCCCGGCCTGTGCTCTGAGACTCGAGTGACGTTTGTGGTTGCAGGAACACGTCTTCTGGGTCGTGTCGTTGAACACCCTCTTCATTTTGGTGTTTGGTGAGTTTTTGCCAAATTCTACACCACTCGCGTGTAATTCCACACTGGCTTCAAAGGCACAGATAACTTAGAAGGCCTCTCAAGCAACTTACAAAGATGTCAAGTACATTTTAGAACCATTTTTCTGAAGAAAGAAATACCCAAACATCCCCCTGCTGAAGGTTACCTGCATAAAACTCCTTTGGGATGACACACAGCAAGTATCGAGTGCATTTAATGTCACAAGATGAGAACCCAGGTGACCAGGACGAGTCTCATTTGCAGGAGGGACCTGGGACATTTGTCCGCTAGTAGGGGGGCGATTATTGCTGCTGCGTCTATCGTCCTAATGGAGTCATCTGCAGTGTAATGATTTAATTTGGCAACTTTGGACTCCAATACTGGCACACAATGGCCTTCTCTTGCGAATTATGTCATGCGATCTTTAAAGTCCACTGTGAAGCGGATGGCGCAGTAGTAATATTACGGTTAACACACCCACGGTATTAACCAGGGCGGCCGCTGGATTCACACTGCGAACCTCTGCAACAAGCAGCGAATGCTCCACCACTGGGCCGTGTCACCGTCCTTCAGCCCATACTGCAAATTATTTGGTGGGACCCTCCTGATAAAGAGTCTTGAGACTCGGTGAGGCTTTTCTGGGTAGACAATCTTAATCAAAATAAATAATTGTGCGGAAATATGTTCTGATTCTCCGAAAATCTCGTCCTGTTGCAGCGTTTTGCCCCTACCACGTGGGCCACTTCTCTGTGGTGGCCATGGGAGTCAAGGAGCATGTGAGTAGAACTCTCCTGCATCAGACGATGCACACAGTCACTGCCATACCCTCGTGAGCCTCCATGTCCCGTCCTGCACGCTCGGCCACTCGATAGTATCGTCAAGGCTGCAACACACTCTCTGAAAACAGCACCAGCACCGGATCGTATCGTTTCACGGTTAGGGTTGGTGCTGAGACGCTGAGATGTTGTGTTGTCACCTGCTGTGCATGCATGTGTTTGTGTTCATGTGTGGGTTGATGAATGTGCACACGTGTGCCTGCGTATGGGAGGGGTCTTTCCAGTCTTGCGTGAAGATGGCTGCCTGCCCCTGTTCAGTCCAGGCTTGAAGACTGCCTCACTCCCTATTTAATAAACGTGCCCACAGTTTCTGTACCATATCTTGAGATACTGTCATATTTAGTTGCTGCGCTAATCCACATTGTAAAGTATTCCAGTATCTGTGCTCCTGTCTGCATGTGTGTGTGTGTGAAGGTGATGTGCCCGTGTGTTCGTGGTCTCTGCCACCAGGTGGCAGCTTCGCATTTCGAGGGCCTCATCACCACTATCGTGGGCTACGTGCTGCTCGCCCTTGCGCTCGTGCTCTTCCACGTATCCTCCGCCACGGCCACAATTCGCGGGACACGTCCCAGCTTGTAGCTGCTGCTGCAGCATTGCACGCATCACGACGCGCACACGACGCACGTGCGAGGCTGGCGCATGGTGACCGTCAACCTCCCAAACCACGGCTCGTACCGATGATGGGTGGATGGACGAACAGCACAGTCCTTTTGTCAATCCACTGCTGGATGCGGGTCTCCCCACGCCATGCGGGGCACGTGGATCATTTGACCATACTTCACCACGCCGTTTAGTGCCGGTTGGTGATGGCGTTGGAGGAAAGCTGTTGTGGAATAGTACGGTAGAACAATGCATTTTTCTGCACTGCTGACGATGTAGCCCCGACGCAGCCAACAACAACGCCTGGCCTATGCACGGCGGTCACCCATCCGAGCACTATTCAGGCTCAACACTACTTAGCTTTTGAAATATGATCAGACCGTGCGCATTCTGAGTGAATTTGCAATAGACCTTACAATCTAACACCGATAAACTGTGACACTTGAGAACTATTTGTTGTCAACATTTATAACAACTCAAAACACAGTTTCACGATATCCTGACCCTAGCCTCGGTGTGTGGCGCAAGCCTGTGGCTGTCGTCCTTGACTCGCGGTCCCAACCCAGGCCCTGGCGTCGCTGGTGAGGTTCCAGCGTTCCAAGCGGATCCTTGGTCTCGGCTACGTTGTGGTCAAGGTACCTCCAGATTTCCAAATCTTGGCTCAAAACCTCCCTCTCCTCCTGCGCCTGATCTTCCCTTCTTATCGATCCAGAGTTACTTCGGCCGTTCTTTACCATGAGAAAATAATATCTATAATGTAGATATTCAGAAGCGACCCCTAAACATCCTTCGACAGCTGCCACCGGGGCGTGGCCCCCTTGCAGCGGAGTGGCTTGGTCTGAATAGCGAGCGGTGGTGACCGTGCCCATGCTGCGATATACAGCGTCTTTCACGTGCAGTTGCATTTAGACCCTAACTACATCGAGAGGGTCTTGTTTTGGTTTGCGATGGAGCAGGGGGCATGGCTGTTTAATATCAGTGCTGCTGCACCATGTGCCCTGGTGCTGTGCTTCTGTGTCAGGTGTCTCTGCTGGTCGTGGTGGAGATCGGGGTGTTCCCACTCATCTGCGGCTGGTGGCTGGACATTTGTTCACTGGTAATGGCAGCAGAAATCAACATTTACTTTATGCATTCACCTTTTTGGCATCAAAATAGAGTTTCTGTTGTGTTTTTGCCCATTCTTTGCAAATGTGCTGTCCAATGCTATAAAGGCAGTAAACGAGTGAGAAGATGGTGATTGTGGTCCTGTTAACGACAATTATGATGATGACAATAAGGATGATGACAATGTGTGTTTGTCGGAGCAGGAGATGTTTGACGCGACGCTGAAGGATCGAGAGGCGAGCTTCCAGTCGGCGCCGGGCACCACCATGTTCCTGCACTGGCTGGTCGGCATGGTCTACGTCTTCTACTTCGCCGCCTTCATCCTGCTGCTGCGCGAGGTGCGGCACTGACCGGTGGCCGGGCCCTCGCGGCACGACGGCTCCGCACAGCGCGACCAGCCGCCGTGCGTCGCGACCTGTCGGCCCACGCGGGCCCCCGAGCCGTTGCGGCACGTCGGGCGTACGGCGAGTTTAGATGCCGTGAAAGCTTCGCTCGCGGTCAGCTCGGTGCGGTTGAATCTGCGTACGGGGTGCAGCCTTCTCTACCACGCAGTGGCTGGAAATGCAGACGTCTCCTTTGTAAGGGAAACCTGGCAATTTATGTGGCGGTGCGTAGTTTGCGCAGTCGGTGACGTCGGTAATGCCGGGGTGTGTTTACTGAGCACGTGTAGGGGTGGAGTGGTGGGGCAGCGATCAGCACATGCTACAAACCCCGTGAAAAGAGTTGGATTCCCAGCCACGTATCTGAACTGGTTCTGGTCGCCCTTCCTTCGCCGATCCGAACTGACAATTGTGGTTAGGAATTGTAACACAACTCTCATGACTGACCTCGTGTGGGTAGCCCTTCATCCAACAGTGGATTGACAAAGGGTTGTACATATATTACAATGCTGCATTTGTGCGCTCGGTAATGTCGATGGTAGTTTGCTGTGCTCAATGAGCACTGTATCTCGTGTTTTCACTGTGTAGGTTTTGCGACCGGGACTTCTGTGGTTTCTCCGAAACCTCAACGATCCAGACTTCAACCCCGTACAGGAGATGATCCACCTGCCGATTTACCGACACGTTCGCAGGTTCATCCTCTCCGTGGTGAGCGCCGGTTCGGGTTTTGGTTGCGTCTTATTTTTTTACGGCAAAATCTGTCGCTAAAACATATTTTACCCTTTCAAATAAGAACGCCATATTGTACTAGAAAATTAATAAATGTTGACGTGAAATGGTTGCCGGAGTGCTACCCTCTTCTGTTTCGAGGTCCTTTATGTCAGAGGTAGCTCTGTGGTAGCCGCTTCCGTGGGCTGTTATCAAACACTAATCAGTGCACAGCCGTGCGAATACGCAAACGGACACCTCGTCTCGTGAGCCGATGCCGACAGCGCAGTTGGGATAAAATTGATGGAAAATGCCAACGACGTGGACTCTGTTCTCTCGGCAGATTGTGTTTGGCTCCATCGTGCTGCTCATGCTGTGGATGCCCATCCACATAATAAAGTCTCTCCTGCCAACGTTCCTTCCCTACAACGTCATGCTCTACAGGTGCCGAAGCACAACGCCGCTGAGAGCACTGCTGACATTCGTACGTTGTCGCACCGTGCGTGCGTGGGTATCGCCCCGGCTGGCCTAACGTGGTTGTCCGTGTGCCGTGCGCAGCGACGCCCCTGTGAGTGAGCTATCGCTGGAGCTGTTGCTGCTGCAGGTGGTACTGCCGGCGCTGCTGGAGCAGGGCCACACACGCCAGTGGCTCAAGGGCCTGGTGCGCGCGTGGACACTCGCCGCCGGCCGACTCCTGTGAGTCGTCCGCGTCGCGCGCTCAGCGCCGTGCGGTCCGTCGCTCACCGCAGTTCACAGTCGTCTCGCACGCGCGCAAACCCTGGTCGTCTTTCGCGGTCCTTGCCACGTCGTGTCTCATAAACACTATTACCCTCGCCGTATTCACACTAAAGTCACGCATGCAGGTGTTTCACTCGCTGATTATGACTGCGTCATTAATCGCTTGTACACGACACAGTTTAATTTGTTTTGCTGTGCTGGGTGGATTTGCTTCATGACACATTTTGCCAGATCATTACGTGACCTAACCCAAAAATCATTAATGACTGTTAACATTGGATACAAAGACCTCTGTGCTAAGCAGATATTGTCTTGTACTCGCGATTGATGGCATATGTGGCACTGGCACCATGCGTCTCAGGGACCTGCGCTCCTATTTGCTTGGGGACGAGGCTGAAGGAGACACCGCTACGGAGCCGCACGCCGGTGCCGATCACCAGCCGGGGCCCAACAACAACAACAACGCCGCCGAGCTGGAGGAGGGGGTGGCGGCAGCGCCGCCCATGCCGGCGCCCGCGGCGGCGCCGGCGGCGGCGCCAGCCCTGGGAGGTCTCAACATGGCACATCAGGCCATGCTGCAGCAAGGAGGCCCCGTGGGCTTCCAACCGTACCACCGGCCCAGCCACTTTGCGTCCCGGGTGAGAGCCGTGGGCGATGCACGCGCTGTAATTGGCAAACAGAATGCTCATATCAGTAGTCGGTGCAGTGTGGTCGTCCCTACATGTGGTCATGGGTGTTTGTTCGCAGGTGATGATGCTCTTGGCTCTTCTGTGTTTCACGCTAATGGTGGCAAGTCTTGTCTGCCTTATTGTACCAGGTAAGAGTTCTAAACCTATTTTCCAACTGATGTCGAAAATGTGTAATGCCTTAGATTGGTCCATTTGCCTGTCTGTGACATGGGCGTCACAGTATAAATTATATTTTAGTTTAAAGTTGTGCTGCTATTAGGAACTGTTTGGTCACACGCCATGCATGCCCCTCACCTCCCCGTGACGTCGTCACGTGTCACAGCATCTAATGATGTCACGTCATCTCATTGAGTGGCTCAGAAGCTAACCCCGTTACCGCTAATTACCTCCGAGGACAAACGCATATCGGAAAGCATCTCCTGTTGTACGACCCGCTGTGGCGTCATCGCGTGTCTGTGTTGCTAACGAGTAGCCGTGCGCGGCGGTGCCGACGACATCGGTAAAAGTTTAATCGTAATTACTTTCCGACGCCGCTTGTGCGACGCGGTCTCTGGATGACCGCAGTGCTGGCAGGACGTTGGCTCATGTCGTTCTGGACGGGCGAGACGCGCATCCACGAACTCTACACGGCCGCGTGCGGCCTCTACGTGTGCTGGGTGGCAGCGCGGGCCATCACCATCTCGGCCGCGTGGCTGCCCCAGGGCCGCACGGTGCTGCTGCAGAAAGTGAAGGAGTGGAGTTTGCTGGTGGGTGCTGTCTGCCTGTGCCCAACGCCGCTCACCGTGGTGTTGCAGCAGGGCAGGCTTCACTCTCTATCCCACTCGCACGACACGACCACTCAGTGAGAACTTCGTCTTGCTAGCCACAACTCCCACTACTGCATGGGGGAAACTGCTCGGCTTTTGCCTCTCCTTGTGCTTTTGTTCTGTGCCTCTGCTCTGGTCACATTGACTCGACTCACATCTCGCTCCACCGCATCCTCCCATCTCTCAACCTCTGCCTCCCTCTGCTCCTGCCCTGCATTGGTAGCATCTCCATAGCCCTTCTCATCTGTGTGTGAGTCTATGGGTCTCTGTGTGAGTCTATGGGTCTCTGGGGCAGTGTATTGGTCTCCGTGCGAGTCTGTGGGTCTCTGTGTGAATCAACGGTCTCTATGTCTCTAATTTCCATAGCCCTGTTGGCTGCATCTCCTCTGCCTCTTTGCATCCCATTCCTAAACCATCTCAATTGATTTTGATAATGTTGAAGTTCTCTGCAAAACTAGCTACTACTGGCCAAGACTAATTAGATAATCTATCGAAATTGAAAGATATCAAAATAACTTGAACCGTTCGCATAGCTACCGCCTTAGTGCTGCGTGGAAGCGAATAATAAAATAATACATTATTTAAATGCATGCCTATAAAGGGCACCATACTTCAAAAGGAACGAAACAGACTTCTCCACAAATCTGGCTGTCACCTGATGAAGCTAGTTGTAATTACTGGCGAAACGTCGTACTCAGATTGTAAATGTTGTGTGCTGTACTAGTGACGAATTGGCATGTTCTGTTTATGTGACAACCCTTACTAGTTGGCTGTGTCGGGTGGTGGCAGGTTTTAACGACACATTTATACATTTACGCGATCTAACCCATGCATCTCAGTCTTGCCTCCCTGAGCTTGACAAGAATATTAACCTCTCCCTGTGAAACCTCGTACATGTAGATCACCATGTAAATCCACTGCTGGATGAGGCGCTGCCCATGCCATGCGGGTCATGTTGATCATTTGACCAGCACTTTATATGCGTGCACTGCTCTGCGCAGCCCCCACTCCGTAGCCTCGTGGGCACCTGACATCCTCATCGGCGAGTCAACCCATGTCACACGTGCGTGCGTGGGGCTTGTGTGCGTGCGTGGGGCTTGTGTGCGTGCGTGGGGCTTGTGTGCGTGCGTGGGGCTTGTCTGCGTGCTTGGGGCTTGTCTGCGTGCGTGGGGCTTGTGTGCGTGCGTGGGGCTTGTGTGCGTGCGTGGGGCTTGTGTGCGTGCGTGGGGCTTGTCTGCGTGCGTGGGGCTTGTCTGCGTGCGTGGGGCTTGTCTGCGTGCGTGGGGCTTGTGTGCGTGCGTGGGGCTTGTGTGCGTGCGTGGGGCTTGTCTGCGTGCGTGGGGCTTGTCTGCGTGCGTGGGGCTTGTGTGCGTGCGTGGGGCTTGTCTGCGTGCGTGGGGCTTGTCTGCGTGCTTGGGGCTTGTCTGCGTGCGTGGGGCTTGTGTGCGTGCGTGGGGCTTGTGTGCGTGCGTGGGGAGTGTCTGCGTGCGTGGGGAGTGTCTGCGTGCTTGGGGCTTGTGTGCGTGCGTGGGGCTTGTCTGCGTGCGTGGGGCTTGTCTGCGTGCGTGGGGCTTGTCTGCGTGCGTGGGGCTTGTCTGCGTGCGTGGGGCTTGTCTGCGTGCGTGGGGCTTGTCTGCGTGCTTGGGGCTTGTCTGCGTGCGTGGGGCTTGTCTGCGTGCGTGGGGCTTGTCTGCGTGCGTGGGGCTTGTCTGCGTGCGTGGGGAGTGTCTGCGTGCGTGGGGCTTGTCTGCGTGCGTGGGGCTTGTCTGCGTGCGTGGGGCTTGTCTGCGTGCGTGGGGCTTGTCTGCGTGCGTGGGGCTTGTCTGCGTGCGTGGGGCTTGTCTGCGTGCGTGGGGCTTGTCTGCGTGCGTGGGGCTTGTCTGCGTGCGTGGGGCTTGTCTGCGTGCGTGGGGCTTGTCTGCGTGCGTGGGGCTTGTCTGCGTGCGTGGGGCTTGTCTGCGTGCGTGGGGCTTGTCTGCGTGCGTGGGGCTTGTCTGCGTGCTTGGGGCTTGTCTGCGTGCGTGGGGCTTGTGTGCGTGCGTGGGGCTTGTCTGCGTGCTTGGGGCTTGTCTGCGTGCGTGGGGCTTGTGTGCGTGCGTGGGGCTTGTCTGCGTGCGTGGGGCTTGTGTGCGTGCGTGGGGCTTGTCTGCGTGCTTGGGGCTTGTCTGCGTGCGTGGGGCTTGTCTGCGTGCGTGGGGAGTGTCTGCGTGCGTGGGGAGTGTCTGCGTGCGTGGGGCTTGTGTGCGTGCGTGGGGCTTGTCTGCGTGCGTGGGGCTTGTCTGCGTGCGTGGGGCTTGTGTGCGTGCGTGGGGAGTGTCTGCGTGCGTGGGGCGTGTCTGCGTGCGTGGGGCTTGTCTGCGTGCGTGGGGCTTGTCTGCGTGCGTGGGGCGTGTCTGCGTGCGTGGGGCATGCGTGCGTGCGTGGGGCTTGTCTGCGTGCGTGGGGCTTGTCTGCGTGCGTGGGGCGTGCGTGCGTGGGGCTTGTCTGCGTGCGTGGGGCTTGTCTGCGTGCGTGGGGCTTGTCTGCGTGCGTGGGGCTTGTCTGCGTGCGTGGGGCGTGCGTGCGTGGGGCTTGTCTGCGTGCGTGGGGCTTGTCTGCGTGCTTGGGGCTTGTCTGCGTGCGTGGGGCTTGTCTGCGTGCGTGGCGTGCGTCTGGGGCTTGTCTGCGTGCGTGGGGCTTGTCTGCGTGCGTGGGGCGTGCGTGCGTGGGGCTTGTCTGCGTGCGTGGGGCGTGCGTGCGTGGGGCTTGTCTGCGTGCGTGGGGCTTGTCTGCGTGCGGCTTGTCTGCGTGCGTGGGGCTTGTCTGCGTGCGTGGGGCTTGTCTGCGTGCGTGGGGCTTGTCTGCGTGCGTGGGGCTTGTGTGCGTGCGTGGGGCTTGTCTGCGTGCGTGGGGCTTGTCTGCGTGCGTGGGGCATGCGTGCGTGGGGCGTGCGTGCGTGGGGCTTGTCTGCGTGCTTGGGGCTTGTCTGCGTGCGTGGGGCTTGTCTGCGTGCGTGGGGCTTGTGTGCGTGCGTGGGGCTTGTCTGCGTGCGTGGGGCATGCGTGCGTGGGGCTTGTCTGCGTGCGTGGGGCTTGTCTGCGTGCGTGGGGCTTGTCTGCGTGCTTGGGGCTTGTCTGCGTGCGTGGGGCTTGTCTGCGTGCGTGGGGCTTGTCTGCGTGCGTGGGGCATGCGTGCGTGGGGCTTGTCTGCGTGCGTGGGGCTTGTCTGCGTGCGTGGGGCTTGTCTGCGTGCGTGGGGCTTGTCTGCGTGCGTGGGGCATGCGTGCGTGGGGCTTGTCTGCGTGCGTGGGCTTGTCTGCGTGCGTGGGGCTTGTCTGCGTGCGTGGGGCTTGTCTGCGTGCGTGGGGCATGCGTGCGTGGGGCTTGTCTGCGTGCGTGGGGCTTGTCTGCGTGCGTGGGGCTTGTCTGCGTGCGTGGGGCTTGTCTGCGTGCGTGGGGCATGCGTGCGTGGGGCTTGTCTGCGTGCGTGGGGCTTGTCTGCGTGCGTGGGGCTTGTCTGCGTGCGTGGGGCTTGTCTGCGTGTGTGGGGCTTGTCTGCGTGCTTGGGGCTTGTCTGCGTGCGTGGGGCATGCGTGCGTGGGGCTTGTCTGCGTGCGTGGGGCTTGTCTGCGTGCGTGGGGCATGCGTGCGTGGGGCTTGTCTGCGTGCTTGGGGCTTGTCTGCGTGCGTGGGGCATGCGTGCGTGGGGCTTGTGTGCGTGCGTGGGGCTTGTCTGCGTGCGTGGGGCATGCGTGCGTGGGGCTTGTGCGTGCGTGGGGCTTGTCTGCGTGCGTGGGGCATGCGTGCGTGGGGCTTGTCTGCGTGCGTGGGGCTTGTCTGCGTGCGTGGGGCGTGCGTGCGTGGGGCTTGTCTGCGTGCTTGGGGCTTGTCTGCGTGCGTGGGGCTTGTCTGCGTGCGTGGGGCTTGTCTGCGTGCGTGGGGCTTGTCTGCGTGCGTGGGGCTTGTCTGCGTGCGTGGGGCTTGTCTGCGTGCGTGGGGCTTGTCTGCGTGCGTGGGGCTTGTCTGCGTGCGTGGGGCATGCGTGCGTGGGGCTTGTCTGCGTGCGTGGGGCTTGTCTGCGTGCGTGGGGCTTGTCTGCGTGCGTGGGGCTTGTCTGCGTGCGTGGGGCTTGTCTGCGTGCGTGGGGCTTGTCTGCGTGCGTGGGGCTTGTCTGCGTGCGTGGGGCGTGCGTGCGTGGGGCTTGTCTGCGTGCGTGGGGCTTGTCTGCGTGCGTGGGGCGTGCGTGCGTGGGGCGTGTCTGCGTGCGTGGGGCGTGCGTGCGTGGGGCATGTCTGCGTGCGTGGGGCGAGTGTGCATGCGTGCGTGGGGCATGTTTGCGTGCGTGGGGTGTGTGGAAGAAATAGCTGTGGTCGTTCTCCCTCTGCCCACTCCCAACAGCTCATCAAGTCCGTGGTGGTGGCTGTGCTGATGGCGGGCGTTGTGCCCCTGCTGCTTGGCATCCTGTTTGACCTGGTGGTGGTGGCGCCTCTCCGGGTGCCACTGGACCAGACGCCAATTTTCTTTCCCTGGCAGGTGCGTCGGTGGCCGGGTGGTTGGGTACATGTATTGGTGGGTGGGTGGGTGCGTGGGTGGGTGGACTTGTGGTTGCGGGTGTATCAGAATCATCAGAATATTTATTTATCTTGGAGAAATCTGATGAGCTGTGAAGCTCTTTTTCACAGATGTCCAATGGTTGAGTGAGTGGATGGGTGGGTGGTTTTTGCGAGTGCTTCGGTGGGTGGGTGCTGGTGGGAGCGGGTGGTTGTGGATGGATGCGTGTGGGTGCGTGGGTGGGTGGTTTGTGTGGTTGCTTCGGTGGGTGGGTGCTGGTGGGTGTGTGGGTGGGTAGTTTGTGGGGGGGGGTGGGTGCACACTGCAAGCAAGGAAGAGGCAATCGTCGTGTTAGGGAGGTCCCCATAAATGATCAGTGTTTTCAATGTTCACACTTGGTAGCTTATCTGGAGATAGAGGAGGCAGTGTTACATTATTGGAAGGGGATTTATTGTTTCTGGCGTCTGATTTGGACCTTGTCGGAGTTGATTGATGGGATGTATGTTGGGGTTCGCAGGTTGGCACTAGTAGCACTCGCCTGCTTGGCCTGTGCCTTGGTTGTGATGCTGATGCCATGTGGAGATGAGATAACTTCACACTCGAGCTGGGCTGTCCAATTACTGGTGGTTGGTTCAGTTACTAGACTCATCAAATACCTCAAATAATTTGGGAAAAAGTCTCACCTATGCTCCCATGTGTGCCGCTGGACGAGAAGTGATGGGCAAAGTCTGGTGACATCACCGGGTTCATCAGTGACGTCACACTGGGCGTGGGGGTTTCCCGCCTTTGGAGGGGCAGGATGTGGCAGCAGCCACCATTTTTAAAGGGGCCCAAGTAATCGACCGCAAGACAAGCGGTCGACTATGAATCCTGGTCGATTGATCGGCCTCATCGGCTCATCGTGCCATTTCCACTCAAACCCATTCGGTCAGTGGGTGACCGGGCTTTGTTCTTGTGCAGCTCTGGAGGTTTTCTCCTGGGTCATGCATTGGAGTGTGAGGGTTTATGGCGTAGCACGGTTGGGTCAAGCCACTGCAAAACTTTGGCTTACAGCGTGTTGAGGCCCAGTTGTGTGTAGCTGCCATATAAAGCCAAATTGTAGAGGATTCTGGGTTGAGTCGATGGTTACGCCGAGTGCCGTGTGCGTGGTTCCCGCGTGGCCAGAACTGGGCACTCGGAGTCCTGCACGCCAAGATCATCACGGCCATCACCCTCATGGGCCCGCAGTGGTGGCTCAAGAGCATCATCGAGCAGGCGAGTGGACTCCACTTCGCACCATCCACAAATTCCAAACGCGAGCGCTGGGTCTCGCTGATGAAATACAACTCGTGATGAAAGACTCTTGCGTGTGGTTAACATGTGCAGATCTGAACAGAACTTTTCTGCTCCCCTGGTCTATAGGCACCCTGTCCTAGTCCATTCATTGGTGTTGCTTTACAATGTGCAATGGATTAATTTGAATAGAAAATTATACAGATAATATTGATTTGAAAGGTGAAAAGGCTGATGGACAAAAAAAACATTTTATTTTTACTTATGGAGGCAGAATGGATTTGCACTTATTTATGCTTTGAATTCCTATGCTCCACAGCATCGCAAAATGAGTTTTTATAGCAGTACAAAGTGTTGATAATCATGACACGGCGCGGACCGTGGTAGGGGGGTTCGAGGGGACTGGAGTTGCGATGCCCTGGCCTAGCAGTGTGCGAAGCCCTGCTGCCCCCGCTTTGCTGCAGATCTACGCGAACGGGCTGCGCAACATGAACCTGTGGTTCATCATCCGCGAGCTGGCGGCGCCTGTGGTCACCGTGCTGCTGCTCTACCTGTGCATCCCCTACGTCATCGCCGCTGGCGCCGTGCCGCTGCTGGGTGAGGCCGCATCCTAACGAACTCGCCATGCCCCCACTACCCACTTGTGCGCTTGGCACTGGACGAGGGAAGCACGACGATTGTTATTGTGATCGGTGTGCTCAATTGGCTCCCCACGTCCTCAAGTGGACTCACGTGTGTCCAAGGTTACTTTCTGTAGTGTGGTGCGGCATGCGTCAGCCGTGGTGTAACCACACTACACCTTATTCAACTGAGATATTCCCTGCCAGTATGCACCTCAATAAACGCGTGCGAGTCCAGCCCTTTGTGAATCTGCTGCTGGATGAGGGCCTCCCGTTGGTGCCGCAGTTCATGGGACTTGTTTGACGGTCGCTCCGTGGTTTGACAGGGGCCGCGCCGGAGATGCAGACGCTGGTCCGGCGCAGGATTTACCCGCTGGTGCTCATGGTGGTGATGTTGCTCGGATTTGTCTCCTTTCAAGCTCAGCAATTCCGCCGCCTCTACGAGCACATCAAGAATGACAAGTAGACTTCGCCACAGCGCCACCACCGCTGCACCACTACCCACCACGCTCCATCACCATACCACAACCACTACACCACCACAACATCACCACCACACCACGACCACAACACCACTACCCACCACTACGCTTTCACCACCATGCCCAGTACCCACCACCATACCATTATCACATCCTTCACACACACAATATCCATCACACCACCCCAACACCAAAACACACACATCACCACACCACCACCAACATCTTCATCAAACCATTACATTTATTTGTATTGCTGCGCTTGTTTACCCACAAAAGTCTCACTGAGTCTCAGGCCTCAGTGAGGGTCCTGATACGTTTTTACCGCTGAGTAACGCCACCGCCTAACGGACGGTGTGCTGGCGTGGAGCTAACGGCGTTGTCCATTGGCAGGTACCTGGTGGGGCAGCAGCTTGTCAACTACGAGCAGAAATCCGCGGCAGCCAGGAGCGCGCAGGCTGCTGCCAGCGCTGTTCCACCGCCGCCGCCGCTGTGAGCTGCCAAGCGATCCGACCCAACCACCTCTACTCGTGCACGCCATTTCCTTCCGCAGGCAGCCGGGGACACGTGAAGGAGGCGTCCTCCAGTCGACCGCGGTTACCAATGCCTTCACATCTTAGCCGTACGGTCACGCAGTGGCGCAGTGTGTCGTGCGCAATCTCACATGACGATGCCAGGCTCGGTGGTGTTTGTAAATGAGTATAATCTGTACAAACAAACGTGTCTTTTTCTCATCGGCTGTACATTTACTGTCAACGCTACTTTAGGAGTGCTCGGATGCAGCACAATAAATGTCAATGGATGTACCGTTGCATGTCTGTCTCTGCATTTTGTTGGAAGTTTTGAGCTGCTGTGAATTTGTATGTGTGAATCAATACGTACCCTACTCTTGCGTGTATTGTACAAAGTGCGCACCTAGACTGGCACAAGTACCGTGGTGCTGTACTGTTGGTGGATCTGGGTTTTTTGAAATACTCGATATTTTTTCACCATTTTCTGCAGGAAAAAAGTATTATGAAAATAATCGGGCAGAAATGGATTTGGTGCATTTCATGAAAATCGACAAAAATGCCTTTATTCTGCCAATTTTTGACAGAATAGCATATTTTTCTTACTAACTAGATATTTGTTTAAATTTTGAGCAGAATAAAGGCATTTAATCAGGCGGAACTACAGTTTTAGTGCACATGAGTTAATTCTTTATTGAATTTTCCAAAAACAGCATGATTTTTTTGTAAAAATCGACAGGTTAGTACGTCATTTTTGTCAAAATCGAACCACATTTCCTGCCAGTATTTTTTAAATAAAACAATGGACCGTACTTATGCGAGCACATTCTCGTGAAAACCATTGAAATTTTAGCGTGTTTTCGCATTTTTCAACAATCACCTGGATGTTTTTTCCATTTTTTTCAGAATAAAATATTTTTTCATGAAAATAATCAGGCGGAACTACAGTTTTAGTGCACATGAGTGAATTCTTATTGAATGTTACGAAAACATGAGCATAATTTTTTCGTAAAAATCGACAGGTTAGTATGTCATTTTTGTCAAGATCGAACCACAGTATTTTCCAGTATTTTTCTTTATAAAACAATGGGCCGTACTTAGGCGAGCCCATTCTCGTGAAAACCATTGAAATTTTAGCGTTTTTTTTTAACAACTACGTGGATGTTTTTTCCCCCCACTTTTTTTCAGAATAAATGCATTTTTCATGAAAATAATCAGGCAGAACTACTGTTTTAGTGCAAATGAGTGACTTCTTTATTGAATTTTCTGAAAACATGAGGAAATTTTATTCATAAAAATCGACAATGAATTTTATGTCATTTTTGTCAAAATCGAACCACATTTCCTGCCAGTATTTTTCTTTATAAATCAATGGGCCGTATTAGGCGAGCACATTCTCGTGAAAACCATTGGAATTTTTGCGTTTATTTTTTAACAACTACGTGGATGTTTTTCCCCCCATTTTTTTCAGAATAAATGAATTTTTCATGAAAATAATCAGGAAGAACTACAGTTTGAGTGCAAATGAGTGACTTCTTTATTGAATTTTCTGAAAATATGAGCATAATTTATTCATAAAAATCGACATAGGTTAGTACGTCATTTTTGTCAAAATCGAACCACATTTCCTGGCAGTATTTTTTTATATAACAATGGGCCGTACTTATGCGAGCACATTCTCGTGAAATCCATTGAAATTTTAGCGTGTTTTAGCATTTTTCAACAATCATCTGGATGGTTTTTTTCCCAATTTTTTTTCAGAATAAAATAATTATATATGAAAATAATCAGGCAGAACTACAGTCTTAATGCACATGAGTGAATTCCTTATTGAATTTTCCGAAAACATTAGCATCATTTTTTCGAAAAAATCGACAGAAGTTACTATGTCATTTTTGTCAAAATCGAACCACAGTATTTTCCTTTATAAAACAATGGACCGTACTTAGGCGAGCCCATTCTCGTGAAAACCATTGGAATTTTTCCGTTTATTGTTTATTTTTAACAACTACGTGGATGTTTTTCCCCCCCATTTTTTTCAGAATAAATGAATTTTTCATGAAAATAATTAGGCAGAACTACTGTTTTAGTGCAAATGAGTGACTTCTTAATTGACTTTTCTGAAAACATGAGGAAATTTTATTCATAAAAATCGACATAGGTTAGTACGTCATTTTTGTCAAAATCGAACCACATTTCCTGCCAGTATTTTTTGTATAGAACAATGGGCCGTACTTATGCGAGCCCATTCTCGTGAAATCCAGTAAAATTTTTGCGTGTTTTAGCATTTTTCAATAATCACCTGGATGTTTTTTTTCTTTTTTTGATAATAAAGGCATTTTTCATGAAAATAATCGAGCAGAATTACACTTTTAGTGCACATTAGTGAATTCTTCATTGAATTTCCCGAAAACATGAGCATAATTTTTTTGTAAAAATCGACGTCATTTTTGTCAAAATCGAACCACATTTCCTGCCAGTATTTTTCTTTATAAATCAATGGGCCGTATTAGGCGAGCACATTCTCGTGAAAACCATTGGAATTTTTGCGTTTATTTTTTAACAACTACGTGGATGTTTTTCCCCCCATTTTTTTCAGAATAAATGAATTTTTCATGAAAATAATCAGGAAGAACTACAGTTTGAGTGCAAATGAGTGACTTCTTTATTGAATTTTCTGAAAATATGAGCATAATATATTAATAAAAATCGACAAAGGTTAGTACGTTATTTTTGTCAAAATCGAACCACATTTCCTGCCAGTATTTTTTTTATTAAACAATGGGCCGTACTTAGTCGAGCCCATTCTCGTGAATTCCATTGAAATTTTAGCGTGTTTTAGCATTTTTCAACGATCATCTGGATGCATCTTCTTGGTTCTTTCGGTAAAGTCACGTAGAATGGAAATAATAACCATAAAATAATTCTCACGACGTTTCGGCCACCAACGCAAGCAGCCGTCCTCAGGTGGAGAACAGGTCTGTCGAGGAGACAGAGTCACCTGAGGACGGCTGCTTGCGTTGTGGCCGAAACGTCGTGAGAATTATTTAATAGTTTTATTTTTATTATTTTATTATTTCCATTCTACGTGACTTTACCTGAAAGAACCAAGAAGATGAATCCCTGCAGTCACGAAAGCTTTAAATCGAAATCATCTGGATGTGTTTTTGTTTTTTTCAGAATAAAATAATTTTTCATGAAAATAATCAGACAGAACTACAGTGTTAATGCACATGAGTGAATTTCTTATTTAATTTTCCGAAAACATGAGCATAATTTTTTCGTAAAATCGAACCACAGTATTTTCCAGTATTTTTCTTTATAAAACAATGGACCGTACTTAGGCGAGCCCATTCTCGTGAAAACCGTTGGAATTTTAGCGTTTATTTTTTTTTTAACAACTAAGTGTATATTTTTTCCCCCCATTTTTTTAAGAATAAATGAATTTTTCATGAAAATAATCAGGAAGAACTACAGTTTTAGTGCAAATGAGTGACTTCTTTATTGAATTTTCTGAAAATATGAGGAAAATGTATTCATAAAAATCGACATAGGTTAGTACGTCATTTTTGTCAAAATCGAACCACATTTCCTGCCAGTATTTTTCTTTATAAATCAATGGGCCGTATTAGGCGAGCACATTCTCGTGAAAACCATTGGAATTTTTGCGTTTATTTTTTTTAACAACTACGTGGATGTTTTTCCCCCCATTTTTTTCAGAATAAATGAATTTTTCATGAAAATAATCAGGAAGAACTACAGTTTGAGTGCAAATGAGTGACTTCTTTATTGAATTTTCTGAAAATATGAGCATAATTTATTCATAAAAATCGACATAGGTTAGTACGTCATTTTTGTCAAAATCGAACCACTTCCTGCCAGTATTTTTCTTTATAAATCAATGGGCCGTATTAGGCGAGCACATTCTCGTGAAAACCATTGGAATTTTTGCGTTTATTTTTTTAACAACTACGTGGATGTTTTTCCCCCCATTTTTTTCAGAATAAATTAATTTTTCATGAAAATAATCAGGAAGAACTACAGTTTGAGTGCAAATGAGTGACTTCTTTATTGAATTTTCTGAAAATATGAGCATAATTTATTCATAAAAATCGACATAGGTTAGTACGTCATTTTTGTCAAAATCGAACCACATTTCCTGCCAGTATTTTTCTTTATAAATCAATGGGCCGTATTAGGCGAGCACATTCTCGTGAAAACCATTGGAATTTTTGCGTTTATTTTTTTAACAACTACGTGGATGTTTTCCCCCCATTTTTTTCAGAATAAATGAATTTTTCATGAAAATCATCAGGAAGAACTACAGTTTGAGTGCAAATGAGTGACTTCTTTATTGAATTTTCTGAAAATATGAGGAAATTTTATTCATAAAAATCGACATAGGTTAGTACGTCATTTTTGTCAAAATCGAACCACATTTCCTGCCAGTATTTTTTTTATAAAACAATAGGCCGTACTTATGCGATCACATTCTCGTGAAATCCATTGAAATTTTAGCGTGTTTTTAGCATTTTTCAACAATCATCTGGATGTTTTTTTTACCAATTTTTTTCAGAATAAATAATTATTCATGAAAATAATCAGGAAGAACTACAGTTTGAGTGCAAATGAGTGACTTCTTTATTGAATTTTCTGAAAATATGAGCATAATTTATTCATAAAAATCGACATAGGTTAGTACGTCATTTTTGTCAAAATCGAACCACATTTCCTGCCAGTATTTTTCTTTATAAATCAATGGGCCGTATTAGGCGAGCACATTCTCGTGAAAACCATTGGAATTTTTGCGTTTATTTTTTTAACAACTACGTGGATGTTTTCCCCCCATTTTTTTCAGAATAAATGAATTTTTCATGAAAATCATCAGGAAGAACTACAGTTTGAGTGCAAATGAGTGACTTCTTTATTGAATTTTCTGAAAATATGAGGAAATTTTATTCATAAAAATCGACATAGGTTAGTACGTCATTTTTGTCAAAATCGAACCACATTTCCTGCCAGTATTTTTTTTATAAAACAATAGGCCGTACTTATGCGATCACATTCTCGTGAAATCCATTGAAATTTTAGCGTGTTTTTAGCATTTTTCAACAATCATCTGGATGTTTTTTTTACCAATTTTTTTCAGAATAAATAATTATTCATGAAAATAATCAGGCGGAACTACAGTTTTAGTGCACATGAGTGAATTCTTATTGAATTTTACGAAAACATGAGCATAATTTTTTCGAAAATATCAACAGGTTAGTATGTCATTTTTCTCAAGATCGAACCACAGTAT